CCTTTCTTATCGAACAAAGCGCGCTGGGGTCTGGGAGACACGTTTTTGTGATTAAAACCTTATAGAGATGCCACCCGGTACACAGGGCACCAGCCCCCTCCGATTCCTCCTACAGGTTGTGAGTACACAGGAGGATAGCTGCTCTATTGTGTACTATTGTTTACATATATAAAGTGCACAATTTGGTCCGCTTGTGCAATTTTCAACAATTGTAACTTTTTACTGTAAAAAAGGTGTGCGACTAATTTCACTGGATTCATGACCTCATGATTGTCCTCTACCACTGTACCAAAGACAAGAAACATTTACTGTTGAAATATTGAGAAATATTGATTTAAAGTAGCCATTTTGGTCCAAAATAACCTAAAAATGGTCAAAACATGTCACTTTTGATCTACTGTAACTTTTTACTGTAAAAAGGTGTGCGACTAATTTCACTGGATTCATGACCTCATGATTGCCCTCTACCACTTTACCAAAGACAAGAAACATTTACTGTAGAAATATTGAGAAATATTGATTTAAAGTAGCCATTTTGGTCCAAAATAGCCTAAAAATGGTCAAAACATGTAACTTTTGATCTACTGTAACTTTTTACTGTAAAAAGGTGTGCGACTAATTTCACTGGATTTATGACCTCATGATTGTCTTCTACCACTGTACCAAAGAAAAGAAACATTTACTGTAGAAATATTGATTTAAAGTAGCCATTTTGGTCCAAAATACCTTAAATAGTCAAAGCATGTCACTTTAGATCTACTGTAACTCTTTACTGTAAAAAGGTGTGCGACTAATTTTACTGGATTCAAGACCTCATGATTGCCCTCTACCACTGTACCAAAGACCAGAAATTTTTACTGTAGAAATATTGAGAAATATTGATTTAAAGTAACCATTTTGGTCCAAAATACCTCCAAAATAGTCAAAACATGTCACTTTTGATCTACTGTAACTTTTTACTGTAATAAGGTGTGCGACTAATTTCACTGGATTCATGACCTCATGATTGCCCTCTACCACTGTACCAAAGACCAGACACTTTTACTGTAGAAATATTGAGAAATATTGAGGTAAAGTAGCCATTTTGGTCCAAAATACCTCAAAAATGGTCAAAACATGTCACTTTAGATCTACTGTAACTCTTTACTGTAAAAAGGTGTGCGACTAATTTCACTGGATTCAAGACCTCATGATTGCCCTCTACCACTGTACCAAAGACCAGAAATTTTTACTGTAGAAATATTGAGAAATATTGATTTAAAGTAGCCATTTTGGTCCAAAATAGCCTAAAAATGGTCAAAACATGTCACTTTTGATCTACTGTAACTTTTTACTGTAAAAAGGTGTGCGACTAATTTCACTGGATTCATGACCTCATGATTGCCCTCTACCACTGTACCAAAGACCAGAAACTTTTACTGTAGAAATATTGAGAAATATTGATTTAAAATAGCCATTTTGGTCCAAAATAGCCTAAAAATGGTCAAAACATGTCACTTTTGGTCTACTGTAACTTTTATTGTGGAAATTTTGAGAAATAATTAGTCAAAGTACCCCCCTTGGTAAAAAATACACAAAAGGGGCTACGGCCCCTTTTGTCGACAAGCGGAGGCTCGACAAGTCGACAAGCGGAGGCTCTGCTCCGAGCTCCTTCCGTGTGACTGAGCTCCTCAACCTATCTCTAAAGGTGCTTTCAGACCAATAGCTTCAAAACGCTTTTGACGCGCAATATTTGACGCTGGGTCCGGTGTGAACGCCCTTTGGTGCTTGAAGCTCCTGACGCCGGGTGGGAGGAGCTTCTCTCGCTCCCGCCTGGAGCTCGCACTGATTCCCGCGGAGGAGCGCCTGTCTTTCAGTCTGCTGTGTCTGAGCCAGCTTTAGCTTGTTCTTATACTAAATAAATTACTTTAACTTCACAGCATATGATTGTGTTACTTACTTTTTAAGAACGTTACTATTCATACAAATAATATTACAAATAACAATAATGACAATGAAAAAGCAGTAGCAGCTACATGACAGCCCTGCTAATGCTGCTGCTGCTCCTTGTCTCCAGATTGGTTGAAGCCCGGCCTCAAGCTCCAAAAGCTTTTCTCAACTTCGGCGTTAAGGGACTTTTTTACGACAAAAGAGACGCAAGCATTACGCGTGTCAAAAGCTTCAAGTGATGCGCATAATGCTCTCGTCTTTTGAAGCGCTTCAGGTGACGCCGGGCCTCTCAGCGTCACCTGACGCGCTTCACTATTCATTTTCAGTGCAAAACTGACGCTTTTCAAGTCTAAGTTGAGTCCGGGGTGAAAGCACCTTAAGGGAGTGCCCAACCACTCTTTCCTACCGCCTGTATCTACAATCTCGTTCTTTCGGTCATTATCCAAAGCTCATGACCAGAAGTGATGGAAGGAACAATAATTGACCGGTAAATCGAAAGTGGCCGCATCACTGCGCACGCTGCACCAATCCACCTGTCAATCTCACGCTCCATCCTTCCGTCACTCGTGAACAAGACCCCGAGATACTTGAACTCCTCCACGTGAGGAAGGACCTCTCCACTTTGGCGGCACGGTGGCTGAGTGGATAGCACTCTCGCCTCTCAGCAAGAAGGTCCTGAGTTTGAATCCCGGTCGGACCAGGGCCTTTCTGAGTGGAGTTTGCATGTTCTCCCCGTGTCTGCGTAGGTTTCCTCCGGGTACTCCGGTTTCCCCTACCACTAAAAATATGTATAATAGTTCTGGCATGTGCCTCCTGTTCTGGCCCCTCCCATCTCTGTGTGGAGTGAGAGACAAATGCCCAAAATAAAAATAATAACAATTGTAAACCGCTTTGAGACTCAGATCTGCAGTGAAAAGGCGGTATATAAATAAAGATTACTTACTACTACTACTCAATAGGTATAGTGGAGATTGGGGGCTGATCAGTGGGGGCGGGTCCCGGCTCGAAAGTGGCCAAAATGATGCGCTGACATGCTTGCCCCGGGCCGATGGGGGTGGACCCGGAATAAGAATTAGCCAATGCTAACGTATAGCATTGGCAGACCTCTCGAAAAGGATGGTCCAAAAGTTGGCTCTTGGCCCAAAGCTCCGTTCCACATGTGTGTCAATGCTGAGGGGGGTGAATTTTTTTGGACCACTCTACTTTACTCGCTTTGAATTTTTTAAGTCTCTCGTTCAAATGAATGGAGCTTGCGCCGGCTGACGCATGCGCAGATGCTTTTTTTTCCGCTATATAATTTTTTTTTATATATATAAATGCGCTATATAAATAATCATTACTCATTAATCATTACTCATTACTCGAGAGGGCAAGGCACCTTTTTCCGGTCAGGCATCATGGCCTCGGATTTGGAGGTGCTGATTCTCATCCCAGCCGCTTCACACTCGGCTGCAACCGTCACAGTGCATGTTGCAGGTCCTGGTTCCTTGGAGCCATGATGAAATCCTGTGGTCTCCGAACCGGACCCCCTCCGGCCCCTGGCTGCACCTACAAATTCTGTCCACTATGACAGTAAACAGAAGCAGTGAAAAAGGGCAGCCAGCACCTGCCGGCAATGCAAATACAGCTCTGGTAGAGGACAATAATGAAGTCATGAATCCAGTGAAATTAGTCGCACACCTTTTTACAGTAAGAAGTTACAGTAGATCAAAAGTGACATGTTTTGACCATTTTTAGGCTATTTTGGACCAAAATGGCTACTTTAAATCAATATTTCTCAATATTTCTACAGTAAATGTTTCTTGTCTTTGGTACAGTGGTAGAGGGCAATCATGAGGTCATGAATCCAGTGAAATTAGTCGCACACCTTTTTACAGTAAAAAGTTACAGTAGATCAAAAGTGACATGTTTTGACTATTTTGGAGGTATTTTGGACCAAAATGGTTACTTTAAATCAATATTTCTACAGTAAAAATGTCTGGTCTTTGGTACAGGTGTAGAAGACAATCATGAGGTCATGAATCCAGTGAAATTAGTCGCACACCTTTTTACAGTAAAGAGTTACAGTAGATCAAAAGTGACATGTTTTGACCATTTTTGAGGTATTTTGGACCAAAATGGCTTCTTTAAATCAATATTTCTCAATATTTCTACAGTAAATGTTTCTTGTCTTTTGTACAGTGGTAGAGGGCAATCATGAGGTCATGAATCCAGTGAAATTAGTCGCACACCTTTTTACTGTAAAAAGTTACAGTAGATCAAAAGTGACATGTTTTGACTATTTTTGAGGTATTTTGGACCAAAATGGCTACTTTACCTCAATATTTCTCAATATTTCTACAGTAAATGTTTCTTGTCTTTGGTAAAGTGGTAGAGGGCAATCATGAGGTCATGAATCCAGTGAAATTAGTCGCACACCTTTTTACAGTAAAAAGTTACAGTAGATCAAAAGTGACATGTTTTGACTATTTTTGAGGTATTTTGGACCAAAATGGCTACTTTACCTCAATATTTCTCAATATTTCTACAGTAAATGTTTCTTGTCTTTGGTACAGTGGTAGAGGGCAATCATGAGGTCATGAATCCAGTGAAATTAGTCTCACACCTTTTTACAGTAAAAAAGTTACAGTAGATCAAAGGTGGGAATTTTCTTAGTTTTGTGTATTTTGGACTAAAAAGTGTAATTTGTCTCAATTTTACCCACAATTTCCAAATTAAAGGTTTGTGGTTGTAGGCACAGCGGTGAAGGCAGTGGTTAAATGTCGAACATTTTAAGTTTTTACATGCTTTTCCAAATAAGAGTCTCCTAAGCGCGCTTTCTGTTCGAGGAGAAAAGCTGACTGCGAAAGGCTGTTCTGCTATTACCGCAAGCAGTCAACAAAACGCGCACTGCTTTTCTCTCAATGCGGGCCGTTTTACTTCGGAGGTGAAAGATGCGGCCCACTTTACCGCAGTGACTGGAGCACTGGTTCAATGTAAACAAACAACGGGGCGTGGCTTACGCGCATGCTCCAGCCTCCCCCGTGTGCGGTGGCGTGCGTCAGTGTGCTTGTTGTCATGGAGGAGGAAAGATGGCGTCCCTGGCTCATAGCCTGGGTAAACGCGAAATAAACCACTATTTCAGCATCAAAACGTCTAAAGTCATATCCGTGCTGCTGGTACTTGTGCTGCTGGTGCTGCACGCCACCTCCCGGCTTCTTTACGGTAATAGTCTTCTCATGTTGACAGTAAGGCTAGTGATAGCGTTAGCTTCTGTAGCCGAGCTTTCGACCGATGTTGTTAGCTACATGCCGCCTATAAAAGGATTAACACGTTTACAGTTCGTTAGGTTATATGCGCTGTAATGGTCGTTTGGCCAGTGTTATCTGGTTGGATGTAACTTAAATGTCCTGGAGAGGTTCTCTCTTCCTGATGTCTGTGACACTAGGCCTGTCAGAGTACTGTTCTTTGACATTTACAACTACGAGATATCGCTACTTTAAATATGTAACATTTAAGTAGTTTTACGTGGTAGTTTTACCAGTAGACGTTTGTATGTCAGTATCACGGGATTCCGTCCGCTGCAATAACATCACATGATGATTAACTAACATAACCAGCCAAACCTCAGTTAAAGCTCATCATATTGCCAATAAAAACAAACTTGAATTGGTCCAGGGCCTGAAACTTCCTCACTGCTCTTTCCCTGTCCCAAAGGCTCAGACTCCTGTCAGTGGCTGCTGTCCACGGGACGCTTCCTGGGAAACAACATGTGGCAGCCTGATGGCTGCATGATGCACCAGTACACCAGCAGGTGAGAGTTCGTCCTGTACATGACACAGACTGTAGTCTCATCACTGTGCACCTGACAGGGAGGCCAGCACCTGCCTAGCCGGAAAGAAGATTGTCTTTCTCGGGGACTCACGGATCAGAGATTTGTTTAACTCATTCATCAATATAATAGATTCTCAAAATCATTCCCCCTTTATGGTAAGTGCATGCTTGACCTCCTTTCTAATAATTAATAACATTTCTGATGTTTCTAGCCATGTCTCTGTGTGTGTTTCTATTGACAGAAGCATGCAGATATGTCTTTTAAAGACAACAGCTCCTCAGCTCAAATTGTGAGTTTTTATTTTTTTTGCTTTATTAGAAGAAATATAGCAAAGGACTATGCTAAAGTTGCATTTTTGTTTGGTTAGAATTTTGTGTGGAGTCCCTGGACCAATAACTCTATGAAAGGGCATTTAACTTCACTCTCCAATGTAAGTATTGCCTATGAATATTGAATGAATGTTTATTATATGAATATTTATTTATTTTTGTGTCTTGCATACAACTGTATGCCCAGCCCCTTCATGGGCTTAAAAGACACCGATATAAATCACAGGATCATAATGACTGACAGGATACAATATATAACTGATCTAAATTGACAGGATTGTCGGTACTTCCAGGCTTTACCAACATAAGTAGCCAATTTAAACACATTGGAATTAAACAAACATTTCAGCTTATCATCATCACTGCTCCAAAACAATTCAGGCTTTTTAACAAACAGACCACGCAACAAGAGATTACAAAGATTGTCATACAAAGGACAATACAAAACAAAATGTGTTATATTTTCCACCTCTCCTAAATCACAAAGTCTGTCTTCTTCAGGAGTCTAAGTAAACCTTCCTGTTTCTAAGGCCAGGGGGAGGGTTCCAGTACACAACTGAGCAAGCAGAGATCCTTGATTTCTTGTCAGATTTGCTTTAACATTGAGTTCTGCTTCAAATACGTCCTTCATTTGTATGTATGTTGCAGAAGGATGGTTGAATGGGATTCTGGCAAAACCAAAGTAAAGATACTTTGGTTTTGCCAGAATCCCATTCAACCATCCTTCTGCAAATGTTGATATTAATTTTGTTGACATTGCAGGGCAGATGATTATGAAATATATACTGGAGATGTACTTCAGCAAATACAGTACAAACCTCAGCAACCCAGCTTTACAAATATATTCAGATTCATTATTCTATTCCATAACCTAACCATTTTACATTTCCTTTGAACTGTACCAGGAACCCAGCCCATGTCCCCTTGTGCTGCCAAAACAGGAACAAACTTATGTACCCCCAGAAAACAGTGGATTGCTCAGTTTTCAGCAACATCCAAGGTTGAACACTGCGTGGCCCCCCACACACCAGCAGCATAGTTCAACACAGGAGACACAGGAGACACACATGCCATGTACAACTGAGAATACACATGCCATGTACAACTGAGAATACACATGCCATGTACAACTGAGAATATGTACCATAACCAAGAGCTTTACAATACTTGAATTTGTTTCTTACAGAACCCCGAGCTCTGCTGGCTGAAGCAGCTAAGAGTTTAACTCCTTTATTGAAGTTCATAAATTTGTCAAACACAAATCCCAGATATTTATATTGGACTGCATTCTCAAGATTGACATTCCCAAATGTAAAAATGTTGATACTACAATATAAAGTATAAATATAGTAAAAATTAGAATCTATATTTGTATTACACTGTTGTTGTGAAGCTCATTGAGTTGCAGTCTTGTAGGAAAAGTGCGTTACAACTTTCTTTATTTTATTCTTAAACATGTTCAAGGTTGAAGCACATTTATTATCAATTACATTTATCAGCGGAGCGTTCCATTTGCAATACGATACAATCCAATTCAATTCATTCTTGTACAGCCCTAAATCACTACAGCAGTCATCTCAGAGGACTTAACAAAACCATTGAAATCACCAACACAGATCAGAAAATACACATATGTTTTGGTCCATATGGTGAGCCCAATGTCCATAAATGTTGATTAATGTCCATACATATTGTAGAATGTTTAAGTGTCCTGGATCATCACCACAGTCCTGTGGGAACATAGAGCATAAAGCTAATTTTCCCACCTTTTAGCAACACACAAGGAAATGGTAGGAAATTTTATCTGAATTTAGAAGCCTTTCATCTGTTTGCTGATATTGTCGATACATTTAAAAAGGACATCATCAAAATGTATAATCATGAGCATAATTATGGTATTATAGTGTATTTCTTATGATATGATCAAGTACACAAAGTGGCACAAGTATGGTACCCTGTGACACTCCATACTTCAATGAGATGAAAAATGATCATCTCATATCACTGAGGTGGCTCTTGAACCATTTTGTATTGTGCCTGAGTGCCCCTTGTCGAGCACATGGATCCTTCCTCTCACCTTTCTCTGTCAATTGTTGTTACAGGCACCAGCAAAGCCTGATGCCCTCATTGTAGGAGCTGCATTAGTAAGTCCGATCATTGCTGCATACATACTGTATTTCCACTGGAACATAAATCTTATAATTAACATTCTGCATGACTCCTGTGGCTTGTTTTCCCAGTGGGTCATCAAAGATGCTAAGGGCAGTGCAGAGGTGCTGCGTCAGTACAAAATGAACCTGACGTCCATGTCTTGGGTTCTGGAGAAACTGACAGAACATGGAGAGGTCTACTGGCATTTTCAAGGTCAGCTCATCTTTGTCAAGTGTTAATAACCTTGTATGTATTTCACGGACTTGTCATCTAATTGTGTTCTGGAAAAACAAACTCTAAAGCAAATGTTTGTGGGGTGTGTTTAATAATGGGAGTGGCACAAAAACACTATTTGTTCTTCATTATTAGTAAGTATTTAAGTAAGTAATCTTTATTTATTTACCGCCTTTCACAGACCAGAGTCACAAAGCAGTGTATAATTGTTATTTTTGGGCATTTGTCTCCCACTCCACACAGAGATAGGAGTGAGGTCGCCAGTACAGGAGGCGCATGCACAGTCCTATTCTACATGTTTTTAGTGGTAGGGGAAACCAGAGTACCCAGAGGAAACCTACGCAGAGAACCTACGGGAGAACATGAAAACTCCACTCAGAAAGGCCCTGGTCCGACCGGGATTCGAACCCAGGACCTTCTTGCTGAGAGGAAAAGAACTACCTGCTCCAGAGGAAATGTGTGCAAGAGACATCCTTGTGCATCCTCTGTTTATAAGACGGCCTTGCGTCACAAATCACCAGAATGATTTTGACAATTAGGAGGACCAATAGTCTTGATGATCCCCCCGGAAAAAGAAAATCCTCAAGATTGACATTCCCAAATGTAAAAATGTTGATACTACAATATAAAGTATAAATATAGTAAAAATTAGAATCTATATTTGTATTACACTGTTGTTGTGAAGCTCATTGAGTTGCAGTCTTGTAGGAAAAGTGCGTTACAACTTTCTTTATTTTATTCTTAAACATGTTCAAGGTTGAAGCACATTTATTATCAATTACATTTATCAGCGGAGCGTTCCATTTGCAATACGATACAATCCAATTCAATTCATTCTTGTACAGCCCTAAATCACTACAGCAGTCATCTCAGAGGACTTAACAAAACCATTGAAATCACCAACACAGATCAGAAAATACACATATGTTTTGGTCCATATGGTGAGCCCAATGTCCATAAATGTTGATTAATGTCCATACATATTGTAGAATGTTTAAGTGTCCTGGATCATCACCACAGTCCTGTGGGAACATAGAGCATAAAGCTAATTTTCCCACCTTTTAGCAACACACAAGGAAATGGTAGGAAATTTTATCTGAATTTAGAAGCCTTTCATCTGTTTGCTGATATTGTCGATACATTTAAAAAGGACATCATCAAAATGTATAATCATGATTATGACTGAAAACCATGTCACACGTTTGGGGAGACAAATGCTTGGCCTTGTGGCGTGTCAGCTTGCTTGCCCCGCACCCTATATGCGCGCCGCTACGGAAAGCACAAGCCTCAAAAGATGAATGCACTGACGAAGCTACAGCAGGTGTGAGAAAACAAAAGCAGTCACTGCAGACTTACTGAATCCGTCCATTAGGAACTTCGCATTTCAAGGTTACAGCCCAAACGGTGAAGCTAGAGTAATTTTCACTGCGTGTCATAGTCATATACACTGTATAAAACCATCTTATTAACTTTTGTTACTACTCTGGCTTAAGAGTGGCAAAAAAGTAGAGAAATCACACAAGCAATAAAGGTTTTAAGTTTTTAATTAATTAAAAAATAACATGAACATGTCTCCAGTGTATACAGTAGGTGTGAACTAAACAAAGACAAAAGTGGAGCATCCAGTGGCCTGAGCAGAAAGGCAGGGCGACAGTAGCTCAGTTGGTAGAGCATTGGCCTTCAGGCCTGAAGGTCGTGGGTTCAATTCCCACCTCTACACCTTCTCGACCGACTCCCACTGATGACTGCTGTCGTTGCGTCCTTAGGCAAGAAACTTAACCCCACTTTGCCCAAAGCCCCCACTGAAAGATCAAGGCTATGCTCACACTCAGAGAGCAGCCGTCCTCCTGTGGACTCACCACCTGCAGAGGGTCAGTGAGGGGCTGGTGCTATGAGACTTGGGTGGCATCTCTGACTGCCACCCCCCTGACCCAGAAATGGATTAAAGGGTAGAAAATGGATGGATGGATGGACAAACAGCCAGCTGTGATCAATTTAAACCCAGGCAGGTGAGAGCCTGGGTTTCGTGGCGCCCTCGACCTCTTGTGAAGGAAAAATTGCAGTGAGCCTTCACAATTAAAAGGCTCATCACAAAGTACACTGTTTACGTAATATACACAATATAAATATACACCAAAAAAAGCTATCATCAAAGCAGAAATTTTGTAGCCTTTATTAAAAAAATCCAATTACTTTTTTTTTGAATGAATAGAATTAATATCATAGACTTGAAATATTAACGGACCTAGTGACACCGTTCCTCCGTTGAAATGTAAGTGATTCAAATGGCCATGGGCATCCCCTCCCACAGGAAAATGTGAAAAAACACAAATACGCAGGCATTAGGCGGCACGAGCCCCATTCATTTAAAGTGATAGTCTGGACTTTGTTAGAAGAAAAAGAGAGAGAGGTACATCATTTGAGAAAAGAAACGAGCCAAGCTCCCTCCCCTTTCCTTTTTGATTGGTCTTCAAGCCACACTTTCTTCTCCGTGCACAAGCCAGGTCAATGGGCTAAGGCGTGCAGAGGAGAGAGAGAAAAAATCCAGTGTCAACAATGGAGTCATCGGAGGTAGGAGGGACACGGGCAATGGGTATCTTCTGCTCTTTATTGAATTGTCATTTTATAATTCATAAAATGACTTTTTTTTTTTCAATATTTGAGACCAGGAGGTCAATTTATTACAATTCTTAAAATTTGTAGTTAATTCAGAGTTCCAGACTATCACTTTAACGAGTGAATTCAAAAGTCCACAGTGGCTAAATTAAGCTGGTCCAAAAAAAATACACATCTGGAACGTAGCATTGAGCCAAGAGACAACTTTTGGACCATTCTGTAAAGCAGTTTTTGAGAGGAAAGAAGGTGTCGTTAGAATGCACTGGATACTCTTTCGGGTACCCCACTATCAGCAGGGAGTGACTGATTAATATCTGCTTTTTGTTTTGGCCATTCCTTTTTAAAACCACATTAAGGGACATTTAGAATATGGAAAAATATGTGATTAATACTTGCGATTAAGAAAGTTTAAGTTTTAATTTCTCCAGTGGTAGAAGACCCAAGGTCAGAGAGGGATAACCACCTGCAGAAGCTGAACAAAGCCAAAAAAAAGTATATAAATAATTTACAGGGCACATATGACTATGAACAGATTACAAGCAGACACAGTGTACATCTGTGAGTTATGGTTGTAACTGTAGGGGTGATTGTGTGCAGAGCCGGTGAACTGGAATGCCCTGAGCCCAAGCCGGAAGCCTATCACAGACCAGCAGATAGATCTGTATAATGAGGCTGCAGCAGAGGCCCTGAGTTTCAGCCGCTCTCACATCAAGCCCTTCAGCGTGTCCCGTCTGGCTGCCATGCACACCATTAATCTGTCCTCTGATGGCCTGCACATGCCTGACCGCTGCGTGGATGTGGTGAGAACCGACCTATGTGCACTAGGGGTGTGACGCGATACTTTCTCCCGCGATTCGATTATCGATATGCATTTGCCAAGTATCAATATCGATTTTTTAAAAAATAAATAAAAAAATGATTTTTAAAAATATTTTTTTTACAATAAAAAACTAAAAAATTGTATCAATACTTAATATATGGCTGCATTACGCATCTCCGTTCCATCTATCATGAAATAAAGTGTATTTTTTTCTTTTATTTATGCCATAAATTGGCATATTGTATATTTCTGACCAATATATCGATAATCCTCATATTGTGATAAAATCGTTATCGTGATATCGTTATCGTGATAATATCGTTATCGTGAGCTTTATATCGTGTATCGTATCGTGAGGTACCCTTAGGTTCCCACCCCTAATGTGCACATGTTTAGACACCTATCCTTCTGGAAAACTAAGCTGATACCTTTATTTGTCATTACAGTCAGAGATTCAGATATATTTTGTTTTCCATTTGCAGTAAAACCACTCCGGAATACATGAAGATTATTAAATTAAATATAATATGACTGCTGTCAAAATGTTGACTTTGAGGAAGGTAGTTCAATACAAATGTAAATGTATGTGAAGTAACCTGCGTGTTTGTCTCCAGGGGGCCATGGTCTTTATGAACAGCCTGTGTAACAAAGTGATTCGGCCCATCGATGGGTCCTGCTGTCAGGACACACCTCCGTTCACCTTTCTCCAGAAGATGGCACTCTGTTTGTTTGTAGCCTCCACCCTCCTCTTCCTTGTGTTGCACTATGTGAGAAGACGGCCCCATGGGCGGACCCTGTCCCCTGATGTTGAAAGTTTAGAGGAGAAGAAGACGGCGGGAATAGCTGGGCCTCCGGGGGCTGAGGTGGTGTGTGGGGCCCTGAGCAGAATGGGTCTCATCATGGTCTATTTCTACCTATGTGACAGAGCAGATCTGTTTATGAAGGAACAGAAATGCTACAGTCACTCTGCCTTCTTTCTCCCGCTCATCAATGTGTTTGTACTGGGCCTGTTCTACAGCGACAGCAGTAAAGAGGTGAGTCCTGTGCGGACACACACACACAAACACACGCACACAAATACACGTGCACGCACATCTAACACTACCCCAACCCTGTGTTCCAGAGCCGTGTGCTCAACAGGGAGCAGACAGATGAGTGGAAGGGCTGGATGCAGTTGGTCATTCTCATCTATCATATGTCAGGAGCCAGTGCGGTGAGTCCTGTGCTCTACACACGTCGTCAGTATCCAACAGCTCATTCTTCTCGCTTTGTGTTTAAGGTGATTCCGGTCTACATGCATGTGCGTGTGCTAGTGGCTGCCTATCTCTTCCAAACAGGTTATGGACACTTCTCCTTCTTCTGGCTCAAAGGGGACTTTGGTCTGTACAGAGTGTGCCAGGTGAGTCCACAGCCCCATGCTTGGTGCTTCAACAGCACTGTGACTGTCCTTGTGCTGCAGGTGCTCTTCCGTCTCAACTTCTTGGTGCTGGTATTGTGTGTGGTGATGGACAGACCCTACCAGTTCTACTACTTTGTTCCTCTGGTTTCCTTCTGGTTTGTGATCATCTACAGTGCAATGGCTATGTGGCCTCAGATTGTGCAGAAGAAAGCCAGCAGTACGTGACCACTTCATGCCACTGTAGTTCCTTCCCAATGTTGATAAAGCTTTCTGCTCCATCACTTTGTGTTGTTCTCTTTTGTGAACAGGCAGCAGCATATGGCATTTGGGAATCCTGCTCAAGTTACTGGGCCTTGTGCTGCTCATCTGCCTCTTTGCTCATTCACAGGTAACACACAGTGTCCCTCGGAGGACCTGAAAGCACCTCCATTATCACATTTTTGTGATCACAGTATTTTGTTTTAAAATATGCAGGCTTTGTTTGAGAGCACCTTCACTGCGTGGCCACTTTCAGAGCTGTTTGAACTCAATGGTAATATTCATGAGTGGTTGTTCCGATGGAAACTGGACCGTTTCGTAAGTCCATTTGTTGCATAGTTCCATGACTGCTCTGTCCCAGTACAGCCAGGAAATGTGAGCAGTACTGTTGTGTTTGCAGGCCGTGGTGCAGGGGATGCTATTTGCCTTCCTTTATCTGCTCCTTCAAAAGAAGCAGGTGCTATCAGAGACCAGAGGAGACACTCTATTCTCAGCCAGAGTATCTCTGCCCTTGCTGCTGCTGTCTGGCCTCTCTTTCATTGTAAGTTTTGGACTGTGGCATCAGTATCTTCTGTATGAAGATCTCTAAAGTCTCTTTCTCTTTACTTCCCCTCTTTACTTTAGACATACTCAGTGTGGGCTCGCAGCTGCAAAACCAAAGCCCAGTGCAACGAGATGCACCCCTACATTGCTGTTGTCCCGGTAATGTCTCAGTAGAACATTCCTAGCCAGTGCTTCACAACCAGGGGACTGGGCTCAGGAGTCCTGCAACTAGGAAGTCCCCAGAACTTTGGGAAGCACTGGTCTAAATTATGTTCAGCTGAATCCTTCAGTTGGTATCCTAGTGATCCATGTGGATGGATCATTAGGATAAAACTATTGCCAACCCCTGTGCTGCTCTTGTCTCTTCAGATTATGGCCTTCATCCTCATCCGGAACATTCCTGGCTATGCCCGCTCAGTCTACAGCTCTTTTTTTGCTTGGTTTGGGAGAATTTCCTTGGAGGTAAGATCCATGAATAAGTGTTTTACTAAAAGAGTACAGCTTAGCTAAATGTGTGTGTGTTCCAGCTGTTCATCTGTCAGTACCACATCTGGCTGGCAGCAGACACCAAGGGCATATTGGTGCTTCTCCCTGGAAACCCCTCCCTCAACGTTCTGCTCAGTAGCTTCATCTTTGTGTGTGTGGCTCATGAGGTGTCCCTCATCACCAACATCCTAGCCCAGATGCTCATTCCCAAAGACACTGTGGCTCTGCTCAAGAGACTGGGGGGCCTGGGGATGCTCTGTCTGCTGCTCAGGGCCATGAGCCACTCCTCATCTGGGGCCTGAGCTGTATATGCTTGTCACTTTGATAAAGTCCATTCCACATAGCTGCTCCTGGTACTTACGAGACTTTTGTATTGGGACAGCCTGTAATCTGGGGATGGTACTCATGATGACCTGGAGCACAAGTATGGATCATCTGTGTGTGGAAGTGCGGATCATCTGTGGCTCTGTCCGCTCACACACTCCCCAGTTGTTACTTCTTCATCTAATCAGGACGTGTCCATCTTACCACTGTCCGAACTCCGTGTCTGGAAACACACTCTAATAAGACTTTGTATTTCACTTCAAATGATTCTGTACAATGGATATTGTAACCTATGGTCTGTTTTGTTTATAGTTTACTGTGAGAGGTATTTGAAATGATTATTTAATTATTGTGAGAACCATTTTATAAACAGTTTTCCATGTTGTTGCTTTAGACTGCTGTATATGGAAGACTCTTCCTTATGTCATTTGACAGTGAGGTGGTCAAAATGTTTGAATACAACACTGAAGGAACAAATATATATGTTTGTCACTCACTAACACTACTGCATGTGTTGCATTCAAGGAATGTGGTCTACAGAAAAAAACATAGCTTGGGACATGAGACTACTATTTTGAGGGAGGAATGATGGCTCAGTTAGTTTTTGTTTCAGTCAGTAGTGCTGCAACAACAAAACATTGAGCACTGTTGTTTATATTCCCAAAGTAACATGCAAAATGTCAGCTTTGTTGGTCTTTTTTAAAAAGAGGCTAATTAATCAATGAGACGAATTGAATTGGCTTCAGTGTGATTATGTAATATGGGTATCTCTACCACTAAAACCAAATAAAACAGCACTAAGACACTGTTCAAGGCATTATCAGAATATAGAAATGGTCCTAAGTATCAACAAGCAGACTTGGCTCTCCACTTTGAGCCCGTTACAATTGCTGTCATGGTGTCTGTCTAGCCACGGACATTCAATAATAATAATATGTGTATCCTGATTCTGAAACCACTATCCAAGTCATGATGTACCACTCTGCTCCAAAGCACAGACATTTATTTTTGAAAGCAAATGCCATAATCTCCCATAGAAGATGTAAGATATTTACAGAAATGGGTGGGGCCACACATCATACAGTGTAAACACAGATGAACTGTACAAATTTAAAACCAATTGTAATGTCCAGGTGAGTGGAGCTCGTCTTCTACCACAGATATGTGCTTTAGCAGACTCAAAGAGGCCACAACATTATCGCACGTACACCGCTGAATGGGGGATTGGAACATTGGACATGCTTTATTCAGAAACTTTTCACAATTTATTTAAACATCTCACATATACAAAATAGGTACAATAGTCTTTGTCATTTGAAAGAGAGAGCGCGGCCGGGTAAAACCATTTCGAATTGTTGTGGGATGTGATGAAAAGAAAAGCGTGGAGAACAAAGGAACTGAAATGGAACAACCTTCAAACACAAAGTTCCACCTGCTGAAGAGCGGCCGTCAGGAGGGGAACGGTCTCCAGTCCCAGAGTTTTAGCACCACAGACGGCCACGTTCGGTTACGGCTACGGGCCAGCGAGGGTGAGGTAGTTCCAACTGCTTTTCATGACTCCACACAAAGACCACAGAGTAATGCTTTCTTTTTATTACACTTTTATTTTCTTACAAAAGGATGACACATTGACGTCCCAGAACAAGCTGTTTCCTCGTGGGCTGGTTTAGTTTACGTTGCACTTAGTCCCATTTGAGTCCTCTGGTCTGACGTGGGCCCCTCTTGAGCAGGTGGAATGAGCGATCGGCATTTGGTACAAAAACATGAAGAATGGGGGCGTCATGGTTCTTTCTCTCTCTTTGGTGTTGTTAATTTATCATGAGTCTATTTATTTGAAACAGACAGGGCCAATGTCCAGACCAAATTCTTGGTCAGCGCCTCCAATGTCCAAAGGTGCAATGTCGAGGATGGGTAGGCGAGAGGGCTTGTTCGTTCTGTACTCCATGACTGTCTTGCTCCATTCGCCGGTGTGTCTCTGCGGGACAAAGGACGGTTAGAGACACAGGATGAAGCATGTTGTTCCTTGTGAATGTGAAATCTGGTGATAGAATCAACCTGTAAGTAAGTAAGTAAGTAATCTTTATTTATATACCGCCTTTTCACTGCAGATCTGGGTCTCAAAGCGGTTTACAATTGTTAATTTTTTTGGGCATTTGTCTCTCACTCCACACAGAGATGGGAGCGGGGTCGCCAGTACAGGAGGACACATCAACCTGTTTAATGATGTGGATTAACTTGCACAATAGGTAGGAATGTAAGTAAGAGAGTAAGTGGATGGTGTTGATTGGGGGCTTTGATGCTGGGGGCAGTGTGTTCCGCGTCTCGCTTCCGTCATCAATGTGTGTGGAGTGAATTAAACAAACTCTGAACATTGTAAAGCGCTTTGGGTGACCTTGCTCTGTAAAATGCCCCATATAAATAAACATTGCTTACTTACTATATCACATTGTAGTTTGAAAGTTAAATATCCCAACTTTAATAATGTAGAAATAATGTAGAAATAATACAGTATAGATGAATATGTAAATAGTCAGGAGAGTCTGGATTAGTGAAGACTACTCCATCTAGTGGTAAAAATGTGAACATATCAGGGTTCTACAAAGACGCTCTGGCACAATGCGTATATTATCATAAAATAGTCATCATATTTCTTGTCTTGTTCAAAACGATAAATTGATTCACACTCAGAGGTCAGGTCATATAGCCCCTGTTTTTCTTTTTTTTCTGATGCTTTTAAAGCTGCGATACCAAACTCCACTTGTTATTTGTCAAAATAGTCTTGTGGAAATACAATTCTAAGAGCAAATCAAACCATGTCATGCTGCATTTGTCTTATTTGTACCAGTAAATACTTTTGCTTTGTAAAAGAAATGTATGTATAAACTTGAGAGTCACTATTTAAAATGACCTTCACAGAGCTGATGGGAGTGAAGGTAATCCTCTCTTTTTCACTTTTAGGTTGGAAAAACATGTTTTAAAGCCAGTAAGTGATGTAAATTTAGCTTTAATGTGTTTGAAAAAAAAAAGTCAGGTGAACCCGGACAGGATTTTCCATTGGCCGATCTGTAAGTGTGTTGTGGTTTGTGTTTGCTGCGACTCACAGTGCAGCCGTCCTCCAGCACAGAGTAGGTGAAGCGGCTGTTGCCTTCGGCCCGCAGCTCCACGTCGTTGGAGCCTTGCAGCACCAGGGCCTTCTTCAGGCTCCCGCTGTCTGCGTGCAGGTAGGCAACGCTGTTGCGGCAGTGGTATGTGATGTTCTGGCTGGCCTGGTTGGACAGCAGCCTCATGAAGGCCAGCTGGGTGCCCATGCTCTGGGGGCTCAGGGTCTCGTCGTTGTAGGGGAACTGTGGAGCAGAGGCATGTGTCAGAGGAGGGCTCTCAGGACTCATGACTAATGATGTCGATAAATATCGTTTATATGTATTTTGTCATCCAATTAGGCCCTTAAAAACAATCATAGTTCTAGACCGCAAAATCTCAGTTTGGCCACTGAGGAAGTCATGTTAGCTGAATGTCTTTGGGACTTGGTAAGGCTATTAACAATAAAGGCATTTTAATTAAATAAAATTATTCAGTGACTTGTTCCTTGATATTTTTTATACTTGATATTTAGAATACTTACTTGAAAGAATAAAGAAATAGACACGTAATATGTTTATAGGAGTGACAGAGGCTCTGTTGGTAAAGCATCAGTCTTTGGCACTGACTTGTTTTAAAAGTCCATGATGTCACATTATAGGGAGGTTGAAAAAAAAACCTAAACATTTAGCCAGAACTGGTCTATTGTAATGGGGTTGCATGCTAAATAAAATAAATTCTCTATGCAATTTGTCCTTTGAGCACAGTCCTGCCATCTAAACGTGCGTCACAAAAGCATGCATCGTGACCCCCGCGGCACGTGTCTGTCGGCCGGCTTGTGTACCTCAGTGCCTCCATTGATGGTCTCTCCAAACCACACGTGCTTCTGTGGCTGTGCGCTTCTGAACCAGTTCTTGCGGGGAATGCTTGCGGGGTGGGCGTTGATGCAGGTCTCGCGGCTCTCAAAGTTACAGAAGACGCGGATGGCATCGTTGATGCAGCCCTGGTTGGGGTCGATCCAGTAGAAACCTGAGAGGAACCAGATCAGAGACTACAAACATGTACTACATAACAGCTTTCTATTCCTCAAGTTTTTTTTTTTTGGAAAGGGCTCTTATATCATTTCATGTACATCTCTTATGTCCACACATTCATAAGGGAATTTGCAACCTCACAACAAACATGTATTTTTAGATATGATCTCTTTGTATGTATTTTATCCAATGAGACATGTTGTAAATCTGGTCTGAATTCAGGAAACTTTTTTTAGAAACTTCCCCATATTCTTCTCACCTTTCTGAGCACACATCACCTTTTACCTTATATCTGAAATCTAGTTTAGGATTCTAGCGGAATACTCTTTCTCACTTTTATTTCTGCCTCTCTAGGTTACATTGACTTCCTCACTATTTAAGCTCATGTTTATTCATTAATCAAAGCACCATTCAACAATGTATACTCTAAGAACTTTGCCCTTTGGAACATTACTTTGAAGGTGGCATACGTACCACTGGTCCATTCGGGGTGGCCCAGCTGGATGTCTCTGCAAGTGCGGGCTGGGTTCTTTCTAGAGCCCTCGGGGGTCAGAAGGTTGTCAATCTGGGTGTTAAGAGACTTGATGGTGGCGTCCACTTCGTAATCCTTAGCCCTCATGGCAGGCTGGTCAGCTCTGTACTCATCATATCCACCAGACACATCGTATCCACCACCAGAGGGACCTGGGGGTCCGGGCAGACCAGGAGATCCAGGGGGGCCCTACAACCAGAAATTCTAATATTGTACAAAGTTCCCTCCTGGTTCACAGACAGAAAGTGGCACTCACTGAAGGTCCAACGTATCCAGGAGGTCCGCGAGCACCAGGAGCACCCACTGCACCAGATTGTCCAGCTCGGCCGTCTTTACCAGAGGGTCCATGGGGTCCAGAGGAGCCCTGCACGTTCATGACATCACATCAGCATCACTCAAGGTAGAACATGTTTGGATACACACTTAGGTCTGGTTCCTCATAGAGTAAAGAGTTTGAATTGGGAGCATTTGCATAGATGGGGTGGGGCAGTTGAACAGATGAATAATGAGCCTCCACTGACATAAGAGCTCATATATTTGTATTTTTGATTCACTACATCGAGATAGAAAAATTTAAAAACAAGAAGAAAGCTTTAGACTTTACAGATGATGCACTTACTCTGGGTCCAGCAGGTCCAGAGGGTCCAGCAGGTCCAGAGTCTCCAGAGGGGCCCTTCACAACACATCACAAGTTCAACAGACTCGCTATCACTGGCCTATAAGTATTCATCTTTAATCATTCAAACAATTCTTTCTATATACACGTTTGTCCTAATCCAGACTGAAACACAGTGACTGACGGCTTCAGTAGAAATCCTTTATCAAGGTGTAGGCTGACCAAACTCAGCACGTCTTCATTCTCTTAAAACATTTCGATTTAAAAGGCTAACACTTCTGAGCGTGTGACTCCGTAGTTAAAGCCTGATTACTAATGATTCTCCAATAAAGGCATGCCTTCATCATTGACAGTTCTGGCCAGTAACAAACAGTAGCACTCAATGGTGAGATATTGAGGCTGAACAGTCAGGTGCTGGTCAGATATGGTCACTCACAGAAGGTCCGGGCATGCCCTGCAGACCGGGATGTCCACGCAGACCCTTCATGCCTCGCTCTCCCTTTTCTCCAGCCACTCCCTTCTCTCCTCGGACACCAGCAGGGCCCTGGAACAAACCACAGTGTCACACACACACACACAGGCAAACACACACTTACACACACTCACACACACTTACAGTGGCTCCACGGGCTCCAGCGGGTCCCACAGCTCCAGCAGATCCAGAGGGGCCCTGAGAGAGGAGGAGAGGTCAGGTCATGTAACTGAGGTTATCTGCATGTGGGGTCTATTTAGAAAACTTACAGACTCTCCACGGTTTCCAGGACGACCAGCAGCTCCACTAGGTCCAGCGGGTCCAGGGGCTCCAGACAGTCCAGAGGGTCCGGGGGATCCGGGCTCTCCACGATCTCCCTGCACACACACACACCTCAGTATGCTGTGTGCGTGGTAAAGTCACTAAAGCTGTAGTACCTTGAATCCAGCAGCACCAGGGCGTCCAGGGGGTCCATCGTTGCCAGGGTTACCCTCACGGCCAGCTTCTCCCTGAGGTCCAGTCATACCAGGAAGACCAATGTTTCCAGCAGGTCCTCGAGCTCCAGGGGGACCAGCGGGGCCCACTCTGCCAGGCTCTCCCTGAGGACACACACAGCAGCTTGAGATTTGCATCACAGTTACAAACCTGGAGCGCCCCCTTGAGGACCTCTTTTTGGGCTCCTAAGGTTGTAGCACTTTAAATTACAGCTTTAGAGTACTTATTACATTCTGAATAAATAACTTAAATGTACCCACTGTGTGAACTATATAAATATTCAAATATTACTCTATATTTCATAAAAAGACATTATTTCATGTTTTAGAATGTGAAATAATATTTTCAATAGTAATAATTACATCACAGTCAATATAAACATGAAGCTGATCCTCACCACTCCACCAACACCGCCAGGGGAACCACGGTCACCTCTAGAACCTGGCAGACCCACAAATCCTTGTGCTCCTAGAAGTCCAGAGGGTCCAGGGGTTCCGGGGGCTCCCTAAAACAGGCACAGGACAGGGCTTAGACGGAGCACTATTGTCTCATTTTCCCACAGTGCACTTATAACACACAACAATATTATTAAAAACAACTATAATGATCACTATTATTCTATATCATAATTATGATGCAACTCTTGACCAGGTCCAGAAGTTGTCTGTTCAGGTTTAGGCTCTGCTTTTGTTGTTTAGCTGATTTCAGGTCTACTGACTTCAATCCGTAGAAAGTTTTTGAGGTTTATATTTCTATGACTTACAGCAGGGCCAGACTCTCCAGAGGGTCCCTTCTCTCCAGGAGCGCCTTGGGGTCCGAGCATACCGGGTTCTCCGGAGGGTCCTGCAGGGCCTGGGTCACCACGAGCGCCACGAGGGCCGTCCTTTCCAGAGGCGCCGGAGGGACCAGGAGGTCCAACGATACCCTGCAGATTGTAGTGATTACAGGAGGCACACAGGGATGTTCTAAACAAATATTTCAATTGTACTCTCATGAAGAGGTGTATTTCTATTTCTAAGTCTAAGTTTGTATAATTACAAACTATCATGAAAAAAACATGTAAACATGTGTTCTTAAAACAGGTGTACAGGAGATAACCAGATTTGATAGATGGTGGTACTCACAGCAGGACCAGGAGCACCCACTCTGCCGGCAGCTCCAGGGAACCCAGTCAGACCCTACACAACACACAAACATGTTACACATTGATGGACAATTTTTTTCAACGTTTTTTTTTTTCTTTTATCTTAGATGGTTTTTAAAATTTGAAATGAGCACTCACATTAGGACCGTTCTCTCCACGAGCGCCTGCGGGTCCAGGGGCACCAGCAGGACCCTGCAATCACAAAACACACAATGAATGACTGTAGTATTTATTATATCTATTTATTCACTGCTATTTTTAGTTAACACCACATTTGACTGATTAGTGCACTCACTGGGGGTCCAGACTGTCCAGCAGGGCCAGCAAGCCCAGCGGGGCCCACCTCACCCTTTCCTCCAGCGGGTCCCTTCTCTCCACGGGCTCCAGGCTGACCGTCAGCGCCCTGTGTGGGGAAGTGGGTGTTAGTAGTGCCTGGCTGTGCAATGCGGGATTAATGGCATGAGTTAGCTGTAACTTACGGGAGGTCCAGCAAATCCGGGTGCACCTGCAGGTCCCACCTCTCCACGTTCACCCTGCACACACACACACACACACACAGTCAAGGTACAGGCTAAAGCCCAACCCTAGGATAGGGGGCTTGTCAGATTTAATGGGGCCTATGTTACTCCTGTCAGATGAACCAACGCCACTGGCTGCGTAATACGTCAAAACATCTCTGTTACATCTTCATCTCTGTTACATCTTTATCTCTGTTTACGTGTCCATGTGTTTGTCTGATGCTCCTGATCAGCTACACTGAGACAAAGCCAGTGGAATCGGGCCCTAAAACCACTACATGGTGTTGTCTACCACAGGGAGTGTGAGAAAAGACTTACAGATCCTCCACGGGGGCCAGCGGGGCCAGCAGGTCCAAAAGATCCGGCTTCTCCCTGTACAACAGAACAACACAGTAAGTCAGAATGCATGAGCACGTGCACCTGATCTCAAAGCTAAGCAGAGTTCTGCCTGGTCAGTGCTTTGATGAGAGAAACTGGGGCAACTGTTGCTGCATCGTTAGAGAAAGTCACTTAACCCTGGTGTGAGTGAGACTATGTGGTGTGAGAAGATCGGCAGCCTCACTTCTATCAGTTTGCCCCAGGGCAACTGTGGCTTGGTAACCACAACAGAGATTGCAGCTAAAACATTTTACACTGTAATGTGAATGTCCAAGACAGCATTATATGAAAGAGATCCGTTTATGTGTGTTTTGGTCCACCAACCCCAAGTTTTCTGCTACTGTGAAACTAATTAATTTGTATTTTTGTATTAAACTTTATTACAGACACGAGGTCCAGATAAGAAAGACATCACAAAAAAACATTTAGACTCAGATAAAACCTAATTTACATATGGTGGTAAAATATTAAAGTGGACAAAACTAACCTTGTCTCCATTGGCTCCAATAGGTCCAGGGGGTCCAGCGGATCCGGGCATACCCTAAACAAAGGCATTTGAAAGTGTGTGAGGGGGGAGACTATTGGGACATGATTGAACTTTAGTGAATATCAGTGAACATTACGTACGCGAGCTCCGTCTCTGCCAGAGTTACCGTCAGGTCCTCGGTGGCCCATCTCTCCCTGTAACAAACACACACAAAAAGAGTGTTGAAGGAAGAAGAATCACACATCACAAGCTCCTGAGCTAATCTCAGATAGATCTTAAAGAGCATTTTTAGTAGTGAATATTTCCTTTGGTCTAGCTAACATTTTTTTGCACACTTTGATAAGATAAACTTTATTGATCACTTTGACCATAGGCAGTACAGTGCCTGGTCAGGACTGATTGGGGGCCACTTGAAATACCAGGAAGGGTTGTTGCATCCTTAAGAAACACGGGGTTTTAATCATAGAGGGGCTGTCAGGCTACTCTCAGCACTGTTGGTTTGTTTGTGACTGTCAATATCTGTCTTGTTTGGGCCATAGTTCCTCACCTCATCTTAACCGAGCCTCCAGAAGCCATCTTATACCATCAATGGCCATACTGTGAATATGTTTGTTTGCCCAAAGCATCTGTGGGTCTACCTTCTCTCCTTTGCCTCCGGGGCCTCCAGCAGCTCCTCTCTCTCCGGGCATGCCTCCTGGGCCCTGGTGTCCTGGGGCTCCAACAGTTCCGGTGGGTCCAGGTTCTCCCTGAGGAGAGCTCCAATGTTACACACACACACGCAAGCACCATGGAGGACCATAATGAACTGTCCTTTACCTTAGCACCATCAGTACCAGGGGCTCCGGCGGGTCCACGGGCTCCAATGGGCCCCTGAGCTCCAGCAGATCCAGCAGCTCCAGGGTTTCCTCGTTCTCCCTATAGCAGAAAGTGTGTTAAAGGCATCTGTGCTTCTTTACTGAAGCCAGGGCATGTGCAGAGGACGTACCTTTCCACCAGCAGGTCCTGAGGCTCCCTGGTCTCCTGGGATACCCTACAACACACACACAGTCACACACACTCATATTTTTACCACATCATAAACAATTACTTGCTGGTCGCTGTACTTACTCTGTCTCCAGGTTTGCCACTCTCACCAGCAGGTCCTGCAGGTCCTGGCAGACCCTGATCAAAACATTCACATGATCAGTGACACCAGAAATTATGTATGTATTGATGTTTGAATGACCCTTGAATGTTCAAGACAAAACACTCAACGAGAGCCACTGCTCACCTGGAACCCGGGAGCTCCAGAGGGTCCTGGCTCTCCCTTCTCACCGGGACCACCCTAAAGCACAGAACATGTTAGCCACACCTACACTACCTGTGAAGATACAGGAGCAGACTGGGGACTTACAGCGGGGCCGATGGGGCCGGAGGCTCCGTTGTTTCCGTCAGGTCCTGGGGGTCCCTGCAGATACAACACATTAGCTCAGATTGGTTTAACTGGTTTCAAACTTGTGTAATCGCTGCCTGTGTGTGTACTGGGACGTTCATTAAAACATGAGCATGTGAAGCATGACTACTGAGGACAACCCAAATAGCCCAGCCTTGTAGCATTGTTCATGTTGTAGTGTATAGTGACGTAGGCTCCTGGTGTTACAGTGAGGGGTCTTACCCTCAGACCAGTGGGACCAGAGGAGCCCTTGTCTCCAGGTTTGCCGCCCTCACCCTGTTGGGGACACATAGGTCAGATACACAAATACAGTACATCTAATCAGTTCCACTCTTGCACAGTGTGTGTCACATACAGAAGGTCCTTTGGGGCCAGGGAAGCCAATGTTTCCAGGTTGTCCACGGGGTCCAGTGGGTCCTGGAGCACCAGTGCGGCCATCTTGTCCAGCTGGCCCCTAGTGAGGCATAGTTCATTAGACAGTCCGTCCCCAGAACCTGCAGTACTTTTGACACATGAGACACACTCACAGAGGGGCCCTCTTTGCCTGGGGGTCCAGAGCTGCCGGGGCTTCCTGGGTGTCCTCTGAGACCAGCAGCACCTGGCTCTCCAGCACGACCTGCATCTCCAGGGGGTCCACGGGGTCCAGGAGATCCAGTAGCTCCTCGGGCTCCGGGCATGCCCTGCATACAAACACACTGCACTGAAGAGGGGACCAGGGGTGAGGTCAGAGCAGAGCAGGACACGTATACTTACATTGGGTCCACTTCTTCCATCAGAGCCGGGCAGGCCGCGACCTCCAGGAGCGCCCTGCACACCAATACACATTATCACAAGGCACAAGGAAACAACTTACAGCTGATCACTTGAGTATACTCACTCTAGCTCCACGCAGACCAGCGGGGCCGGTGGCTCCCAGCTCACCAGTGGGTCCTCTCTTTCCCTCCTCGCCTTGGGATCCAGGGGCTCCTTGAGGTCCAGCGTTTCCCTGTGGGTACATAGTTGGATGGGTCAACTCATGGCCATTGGTCATCTCTTTTCATCACAGAAGTTAGATGTAAGTATACTCACAGGCTCTCCTTTAGGCCCAGAGTCTCCCTTCACTCCTTGGATGCCAGGGTCTCCCTGTACACACACACACACACACATACACATGTAAGATCACCCACTCAGATGAAAAGTGTGTGAATGATAGTGTAGAAATGAGGTAGAAATGAGGCACTTACAGGCAGTCCTCTGGGGCCAGAGGGGCCCTGAGATCCTTGAGGTCCAGGTCCACCTCTTGGTCCTGGGAAACCAGGAGCTCCAGCAACACCAGCGGGTCCCTACAGCAAACTGTTTTAATGGCATATATAGAGTATATACTGTAGGCATAAGAGAGGACGGTGGACTCACAGAGGCTCCTTTGGCTCCGTTCAGGCCGTTGGCACCAGGGTTACCCTGCACAGAGAAGGACACATGAAGCTAACCTGTCTAAGGCCACAGGTGTTGTCACCGTTGAAGGAAACTCACAGGGGGGCCAACGGGGCCAACAGCACCATTAGTACCAGGCTCTCCTCTGGATCCTTGAGCTCCAGATGGTCCAGTTCCACCAGCAGGTCCGATCTCTCCCTGTGGGTTAGGCCTGCTGTTAGTTGTATTCTGTGTTCATATATATGTATACATATGGCGAATTCAACGGTCCTCCGAGATAACTATTGTTGTGATTTTGGGCTATACAAGAATACATTTAATTGAATTGAATATATGAAGATAAAGGTTGAGGAGACGCACCTTAGGTCCAGGTCCACCGGGGAAGCCAGGGGGTCCAGCAGCTCCGACGGGGCCCTACACAAGGGGCACACAGGGCACACAAGGTGCATCAGAACATAGGTAGTGTTCTGATGTGTAATGTGAGAGAGAAACATACTGTCTTTGTCTTTGTTCATGATGCATATGTGTCATTTTTATGTATTTTCTTCAGCTAAAGAATGTTCCAGTACCTAAGTAAAGTGCTTGAAGACGTGAGGGAACCAGTTTCTAGATCAGAGCCGTGATCCGCCATTTGAGTTTGGGCTAGTTTGAAGAAAAAGTCCTTATATTTAACGGGGTAGCTGAAAACTTGCTAACATAGTTGCTATGGCAAGCTGGAGTTTACCCCAGCAAAAGAAGGCATCTGATTGGTTAATCGTTATGACTCATATCTAAATTTAAAAGGACAAAATTAAACTAAATTCACCAGGATCATAAAAAGTACCAAACCATTAAGTCCAAAATGGTAAGCGTCACAAGTGCACTGAGCTAGAAGGGTTTATTTCAAATGTAAAACAATAGAACCAATAAGAGTTGGCCATTGAGATATGGCGTTAGCAATGTAGCAATGCGTATGTGACCGCTGCCAAAAAGTTTATGTTTCGTCAGGGTTTGTTTGTCCGTATGCCACTTAGTTAGTAGTTTATTTGTGACATAACTGGTTATAACTGGATATGGTTGGATATGGCTGGATTTTAACAAGATTTTCTGAATAACCGATGTATTTGTTTGTTTACGGGTTTAACCTTGGGACAGAAGGGCATGAGTGAGTGGAGCTCTTACAGCAGCACCAGCAGGTCCAACGTTTCCATCAGCACCACGAGCACCAGCAGCACCAGCAGGACCAGCACGACCTCTCTCTCCAGGCAGGCCTCGGGAGCCCTGCGAAAACACACCTCATGATCACGCACACATTACACCACACCGCGTCACAATCTGAGATGTGCACCACTTACAGCCAGGCCAGGGCTTCCAGGGGCACCGGCAGATCCAGTCTCTCCCTGTAAACACACAAACACACAAGAAGTTTAATCATAATGCAAGATTATAATGTCTCTTAACAATTCCAAAAAGTGCAAAATTAAATAAGCCGTTCATGTGGTGAAGGGGTCCCTTTACAGTCTTGAGTGTTTACAGCCCGGTTATTTGAATGTTTAATTGTTTTAATCTATTCGTCAAAAAAGAAATTACACTACATTCATTACTTCTATTCAACTGCACTCATGGGGGTCTCCTCCCACGGTAATGAGAAACAGAGGCTTGAAAGCACACCTTAGCTCCAGCAGCGCCTGGTTCTCCTTTGCGTCCATCCAGGCCGTTGTAGCCCTAAAATACAGGCACACAATAGGCACAAGTGATGAGAGGTGAAATGCAAACACAATAGAACATTGGAACAGTTTTCCTCCTTCATGTTTGAGAGACTCACTTTTCTCACCATGTTTTTGTTGCACTGAATTAAGAAACCTTTGCAGATGGTATGTTGCCTGTGTGATGCTGTTCTTTTGACAAAAAACTCCAGGACAAGTCATGTCGAAGGGGATGTAAGTTTCACTATTACCTCTGTGCAATACGAGATTGCACATTCATTTGAGTTTTTAGGCTTTGACTTTTTGAGGACCTTTAGAACTATGGTGTTTGGTGTGAACACACCTGAGAGTGTAGAAGAGGACAGTAAGCAGAGGAAAAACACATGTGAGCAATGTTTTCCATGTGGCATTTTATAAAGCAACTGGAGGTGGCTCAATATCTGCATTCATCCACGAAAATGTAACTAGAAATTATAACTTTCATTTTAGCTCTACATTTTACTATTTTTTATATACTTATTACTAAAATATTTAAATGAATTTAGAAAAGGTGTAAGATATACATGTGTGACGCAGGATGCTGCCTGGAAAGTGTCCTTTAAAAGCTTAGGTTGAGCATTTAAAGCTCATTCACTCAATTCATGTAAAAGTCACAGTGATCTTTGCTCAACATGCATGCAGCAAAGACCACATTACGAGTCGGATCTATGCAGAGTGGAGCTTGTTCACAGTAAGAATGCACTGATTTTTAGGAGGTCAAAACTCCAATAATAAAGTTTGGGATGCTGATAAGCATGGGTCGCCTTTGAAAGAACAGATTATATCTTTCACACCAGATATTGATGATTTCATGGATTGCAAAAGTTAACGGAGACTTACTCTGTGTCCCTTCATTCCAGGGAGTCCTGGGGTTCCGGGGAATCCACGAGCACCCTGCACACAATCAGGGTTAATTTCAGATAGCTTCATAGTCTAAGTTAATGCAGCGGTGATTATACTGAAGACCGAATCTGGGACAATATATATGTAGATAACAGCAAAAGAAAAAACACATTTAAAACCAAACTAGATACAGTTACTTTTCCAGAATGTTTTTATAGGAAATTCGTCAACTAAATCTTCAATATAACCACTGTTCATAATTCCTTCATGTTTATGGCACTGACCTGAGCTCCGGGGGTTCCTCGGTCTCCAGGTTTCCCAGGTCGGCCATTGTTCCCCTGAGGGAAAAATAAACCAAGTGTTATGAGTAGCTAGGTGCAGGAAAACAATGCTTTATCTAACATTGTTCATTGTGCAATAAAAGTGAACGGTCTGAGTTCATGTAAATCTTTTGTTTTTCAATTAATGTCTAAAAAGCATCTGGGCATAAGGGGTAGATCCATTGTAATCAAAGTACTTTTCATGAAACAAATGCTGTAATAAGAGTATTTAGTTTGTTATTCAGACCCTACGCTTGTTTTAGTAGAACAGTTCTTTGATGAGGCTTAATATTCTGTAAATATTCTATGGGCGATCCACATTTTAAATATGGATAATTTTATTATAAAAATAAGTAAAAAAATCAAAGTAATCAGATAAGATAAGAACTTTGGAAAATGTATCTACAATTTTTGAAATATTATTTGACATTTGTCTGTAATGAGCAATCACTACGACAACGTTGAGGAATATGCACCATTGCAGAAACCTCATAAAACACTGAGATACTCACATCTTCACCAGATTTGCCTTGGGGTCCAGGGGGTCCTCTGGGGCCAACAGGTCCCTGAAATGGGGCAGATCAGAGTGATGAGGCACAAATAGCTGCCACCAAGCAACACGTCCAAAACTAAAGATTCTAACGAGATGCCATGATTGGTCAGCAGTTTGACAAAGTGGCCTTTAAAAAGTCATGATGAAATGTAATTATTGCTCAACATTTGAAATAAAGGACTTAACTTTATTTTTAAACCACTACGACTTAATTGGCTAAAGAACAAACACATCTTTTTACTTTTCTTCTATTGTTGAATAGATGAAGCTTGAAGAAATAGAAGTAATTTCCCACTGGAATCTAACACAGACCAAGAGACCAAGACCAGGACCTGGACACGGATCAGAACCAAGACCATGAAAAGACCATGACCAGACCATGACCAGACCATGACCAGACCATGACCAAGACCATGACCAAGACCAAGACCAAGACCAGCAGAGGCCGTACACAACAATGACTTGGACCAGGACCAGGACCAGCAGAGACTGTATAAAGCATTAACTAGGACAAGGACCTGGGGCATGTCTAATCCTCCCGCCAATAGTCACTGTAATATTATTATCATTACTATAACTATATTATTGCAGAATTCAACTATATGTTCTTGCTCAAAAGAATTGGTCCATGGCCTCTTCAAGCAGCTACACATGGCCCCTGTGTCCTTCCTGCCATGTGCTGCTGTGAGTATTAAATGTGCTTACAGCTTGGCCGGGCTCTCCGGGCTCTCCTGGGTGTCCAGTGTGTCCTTGGGGTCCCTGTGAGGGTCAGAGTACAGAGGTGAGTGCAGAAAGGACACAGAAGACAGCAGCGCTGCTTATACATGTGGGACACTTACAGGGGAGCCAGGGGGTCCAGGGGGGCCGCGGGAACCCATCATGCCCTGAGAGGAAAAAAAAACACTGGTAAGAAGTGTGTTAAAGATAAACAAGCACAATCACCATGCGATCTATATTAACCAAAATATCTTGATAATCACGTCCATTGTATATAAGAAATATTGAATATACAAAAATGATATTATTATTATTATAATACATGTGCAACATGTCTCTCTAAAGCTGGAGTGTACGTACCATGGGTCCAGGGCCAGGATCAGGGGCCTTCGCACCATCATATTGAGCAGCAAAGTTCTGTGAAGAAAACAGCATGTTTTTGAGAATAGGCTTGATGAACATGTGAAAGTGACGATGTCATATGAGAGCTTAGGAATTATCTGTTTTCTACAATACATGTAAAAATACTAAAACAACAGAGGACACATACTGTCTGTGGTAAACATAAACATTATTGCTCAGTACTTTTCTACGTTCACATTCCAGGCCACATTATTGCACAAAGCCCCTCATCGCTCTCTGCTCACTACACATTAGTGCACTTTTGCACTGCTGTACTATTATACTATTATACTATTGTACGAGTGCACTGTTGAACTATGGCACTCTTTTTATATTGCAACAGGCTGTGAGGACACATGCAATGCAGATGACACCATAGAAACACATTTAACCCCCATGAAAAGCAGTAGTTGTACTGTACCACAAGGTTTCAACTATATCAAAGATTCAGATTTAGTTAAAACGGCTCCAAATTCTTTTTGATTGTTTTAGGGCTGGTGCTATGAGACTTGGGTGGCATCTCTGACTGCCGCCCCCCTGACCCAGAAATGGATTAAAGGGTAGAAAATGGATGGATGGATGGATGTTTTAGTGTCAATATTTTCCACATGAGTAAGAAAGATAAACGACAAATTGATCTCACAAAGGAGACATTTATGAATGTTTTCTTTAGAATAACTTCATATCTGATTGTCAATTCTTATGAGACTAGAAAAGCAGAAAGGCTTTTACCACAGCATGCTTGATAAAATAATCAGTCCACAGCCTTTTTACATTTCCCTTTTTTCACAAATACAGTTAATATTATTGTCACAAATATAGTCATTTTATTTGTCACAAATATACTAAATATATTTGTCACTAATATAGTCAACATATTTGAAATATAATATAAGGATAAACATGAAAGATTGAGAGGGAGATGACTGGAATAAGGTATTCTCCGCTCTAGTGGTAGAAGTGGGTATTGACATGATAAATACAATAACTAAACAGCTCATGTACCCTACATAAGGGGCTCCAAACAGCTACGTCTGTGTAGCAGGGGTGGAGTTTTTGTGCAGATCAGTGTGGGCGGAGCTAAAACAACAGCAGGAGGATCGAACATGGAGAAAAGCTATAAGTCAAACTTACACACGCCTCCTTTAAAGAAATATTTTGGCGTGAAACCTTTTTCATGTTATTAGATGTATAGACATCTTATCTTTTGAGCACTGCAAAATTGTGAATCTAAAAAAAAAAAAAAAACACTTCAGAAGTTGATAGTTTTGGCAGGGTTTGTCAGCTCTTATCTGGCAATCACAACATACAGACTGTGGGCTTCATAAGTGCAGAGGTATCCCCGACACATGTGGTCACTCAGGGGTCAGCAGGTCAGCACACACTGATGACTTTACAAGCTGGATCCCAACACTTTGCATGACTATCACTTCAGACCTAGTCTATCCAGACTGATATTAGGATCGTCTGCCCCCTTCTGTCTAAATCCTCTACTTGCCCATTCATCTTATGTTCATGGTTTTCATACAAGTTCAACTTAAACTATTCAAAAAATGAAATGCAAAGTAACACAATGTGACAAAAACCATTCCGATGAACCATACACCATTGTAGGCATTGTGGGTAAAGTATCTTGACACAACAACAGTTTTGCACTTTACTGCTGCAGCCTCCCCACTGTGCCACCTACTGTTCCCTGAGATCTCCCATCACAATACTAATGAAGCCCTGCCCTGCTTAGCATCAGAGGTCTGACAGGATGTGGCTTTCACATGCAGGTGTTGCCCCAATAATATGATATTAATACATGTATTTTTGATTTTTTTGTTTTCAAAATACAAAACCAAAATATTGCAACTTTGGTAATATTGAAATAGTCTGAGTCTGTCTGTAGATCCTAACCCCTCTTTACAGACCCCCAAACCAGACCATAAACAAAATCAAGGTCTCAGAGGAACATGTCCCATAAGCATCACAGTAATTAGACCACATAAAAGGCAATAAGATCATTCAGTACCACAGATTCTCTGCTTCACTAACTCCTTCTAGCTCCCGAATCCTAGCTCCTAGCTTGGAGATAGCAATAATGTGTTGTGTGTTGTTTCCCTCACTTTTTTACCTTTGTGTAAATATGTCTACTCATGTTTTATTACAATAAACTTCTGTATATATAAGAATGTTATGACTCACTCCTCCTCCGAGTCCAGGGGGTCCAGGGGGGCCAGGAGGTCCAGGCAGGCCGGGCTTTCCGTCTTTTCCGTCAGGGCCACGTGGACCCTACACACACACACACACACACACAATGAGCATTCGTTACATGTGCTACATGGGTCTATTCAGCTCATGGCCCAGGGGCTGAAATGGCCCACCAATCATTTAATTCAGATTAATATCTGGGTGGCATTTTTATCTGCGAATGGACCAGGAAAAATACACCTATTTTGCCTAAAATATGCAAAGATCAAGACATAAATTTGCTACTATGCTTGAACAAGACTAATGCTGACTGTTACAACAGAAAATCTTGTATTAAGGCTTAGTGTAACCTGTCTGCAGTAACCTGTCTGTTTCTGGGTGACTTTTGGTATTATTCTACATGGTAAGAGTCTCAACGCCAACGCCAAACTGTGTCATAAAAAGTAAAGTTATCTTTCCCAGAGTACAGTTGTTCGACGGCTGAAACCAGGAAAAACGTATGTGCAAAACTGCTCGTCTAAAAAGAACACACTTTGCCTGTTCCATTGGAAACATATAATCAACTTTCATTCTAGGAGTGACCAAATGAATAGTAATACTACATCATGCTTCAGAACTGATGCAAACACAGACTTCCCAAACAAAAAAATCCAAATCAAAAAGCTGCAACGAAGCTTATAATGACCTCAATTTGTGTGATTTCCGTGTTTGGGATTTTTTTCATTTGTCTCGATATTTCACTAGTTTGACATTTCACACATGATTCCACAAACTTACATGGCAACATGGTTAGTCTTTTGTATCTTTAACACAAACACTCAAATACCTACTCTACATAATACCCAAATTCCAAACGTCTTTCTTTTTATTCGGGAATAATGGATTTGACAAGCTTTCGCCAGCATTTGTTTATATTGTTTGGGCTATGAATACATATCTCATTTAAGGTTCTTCTCATCCAAACATATATCTGTGTGTTGACTCAATGTAAGTATGTTAATGCCATAGACACATTAAACATGGTCAGAAAGTATTATATGAAGTAGATACAAAGAGATAGAAAAGAGGCTTACCCTGTCACCTCTGGGTCCTTTGAGTCCCTGCAGCACAAACACATACACTCATGGTTAAAACAGACAACAGAGGCGTGCACCACAAAATACACACTCAAAATATATACAATCAAAATATATATACAAAAAATACATACTCAAAATACAAGCACAGCCTCCTGAGTTATTGCCATTGCTTAAAGCTGGGGTACCAGATTTTCAAACAGCTGTGTATATAATTAGTTTAAATATGTGTACATTTTTGGCACAGCTTTAGATTCACTTTTTCAGATGGAAAACAGATCACCTACTGACACTTTCCTGTACGTTCGCCAAAGCTTTGATGATTTCTATTAAAATAAAGTCAGCATGGCTTACATTTCTTCTAGCAGGTTCTGCAATAAGGTTAAAAACCCCAGCTTTGGATAACATGAATAACAATCTAGTGTCTGGATATCTGGTGGTATACTTGAATCAAATAAACTTGCTTGATTATAAAATATATTTTGTTTTCCAATAGCTGATTATTCGACTTAACAGTAGAGTTAACTCAAATGAAACTCAGCTTATTTCTGGAAACTTTTTTCAGAAACACACACCAATATATAGGTCATGACAACAAATACATTTGACCCATGGCACAGCCTTCAAGGAGAATGGACATGGGTCAAAATCAAACTTAAACTGTCTATTGGGAGCTGATGTGACTGACTGAAGGCTTCCATGTAATCAGAAATTGGCTTTCATGAAATCAGAAATTGTTTTATTGTTCTTTCTTTAAATTTTGAGAAAATACGTGGCTGTCTTACTAAAGTGTATAATTCTAGCCATTAAAAAACATTCAGAAATCCTCATCTCTGGCTACCTTCCTGTCTTTTCTCTATGTTTGATCTTTGCTCCATCAGCGAAGCAGCAGCATCAGGCCCAGACCGGGGGGGACAGCCCTCTGCGAAGCCCGCTCAAAGGGCCCTTTGTCCAGGGGCCCTGGGTATACCTGCCCCTCGGATTCAGTTACTATCACAGCAGCAGCTTTGGCCAATCGCACCCAGACGGACACTGCTGCCACAAGTCGCATCCAAACATTTGCCCACTATCGGAGCTCAATCGGCGGAGATACTACTGCTACTTCTACTACTACAACTATTGCTGCTACTGCTGCTACTACTGCTTCTAACTCAGAGGTAAGTTGTAAGTGTGGATGGATGCGTGGTACTAACCGATGCTGAGGGTCCAGAGGGTAATGTGACGCGACATAGAGGAAAGAGAACAAGGAAGGATATTGTTAGAACATGAACATTAAAATTCTCAAGCAAAAAACAGCATCTAAAAGACTACAGCAACAGGCTGCAGCTTGTGTAGAGCGCACTGAGAGACTGTGATTGAGGCAATTATCCCCTATTTGCTTAAATGAAATAGAAACACAGTCTGAATCATTCTTACTTGGTCTTGGTTGGACTTGGTCATAAGCTGCTGATTGTTGTGGTAATTATTGGTGATAATATCAGCAAATATCAAAATATTGATGTACCTCGTGTTGAAATGCATTGACACTCATGTGCCATGAAGGACATTATGGAATCAGTGATTTTCAATGCTCAGTCAGTATGGCTAAATGATGATTTTAAATGGATTTCCCCAGTATTATGAAGTGAACCTAAAGGTGTGATAAACAGGGAGATTGAGTGAAAGTGTGTCTGGAGGGCATGGCGCTCCTCTGGCCTGCAATGGTGCATTCCAGTGGCGCTACAGGCCAGTGCACGCCTATGTTGGATACCAAAAACTACCTCCACATGACTTTAAAATACACACAATGATTGTTTTGAGCAAATTTTACTGAATAGAAGTAACTTTAATTAGATCATGCAAATGTTAACTATTTTTAACTAGACATCAGCCTGATCTTGATCAATAATTTTACAAGTCAAGGCTGCTCAAGTCAAGAAAACAGATTTCTGAATACTTAGTGGGTAGAGGTTTTTTTTTAAGGATAGAGAAGACGTTACATTTTTGCCTGTAATTATGTTATAAGGCAAGGGAGTAGCTGCAGTGGACCCTGCACAGACTTTATAATGCTTTTTTTAAAGCTAAAACAGGACATTAATTGGACTATTCCTGTTGCTATAGTAGTATAAAGAAGATGCACCTAAAGCAGAACAGCAGTGTTAGATTATTGACCCCCAAATTCATTAAATATGTGTTGCATTTGTTGAGCTGAAACATCCATAAATGGTTTTTGAATCTGTCACAGTCCTGTGCAAAAAAAATTAAAAAACAAAAAATAAGCCATCAAATTCAAGTCCATCCGGGTCGTGGAGGGCAGCTGAGGTTGAGGAACTCAGGTCTGGATCTAGTCCAAGTCAGACCTCTGCCTGACCCCTGCCACGTCCTGAGCACAGGTAGCCAGCAGAGGGCGCCAAGCTGTTATGACGTCACACTGCCACTTTCACCAGAGGGCTGATAACACTGCAGGCAGAACTACACCGAGGCTTCACGAGGCTATAGTTACATTTAGATAACTTTATACATAAAACTGTCTTTAAAATCCACCCATATACAACAACCACAGGCCTATTAAGATTAGAATATACTACATTTCAAAAGTAAAAAGAAAAAAGTTCAATAAGTAAAATAGCCTGAATGAAATAATGGAAAATAGAAATAAAAATAAATAAAAAATAATAACAATCTGAAGTTAGTCACTTTCCAATACTGCCCTTGCCCAATGCCACGACACTGATGCCACTATGACTCACTTTAATAAATATAACGGGATCATTAAAAAAAAATTAAAAACTGAAAAGGTCTATGCAAATATAATAAGATAAATGTAAAGCATTTATCTTAAATTTGAATATAGAAAAAACAACTTTGGACATTTTCTCAAAGCTCAAGTTCAAGTAAATGTAGTGACGACAAAGCCTTGCTTTGCCACACATGCACGCTAGGGGGCACCCTGAAAGTTTCCAGCCTGCTCCACATCTGGATTGTAACAATAGGTTCAACGCCCCAAACTTTTCCATGAGGAACCGCAAAGCTCTTTGGTCTGAGGAATAACTATGTCTGGATGAGTTCAAATGACTTACTGTCTTGATTTGTGTGAGTTCGAATGTTGTTCTATTAACTACAATTGGAACACGAGATCCTTCACTTAAAACAATGCAAAATGTGTTGTTTAACTTGATTAATGATGGCACGTACTCAATAAAATACAATTGTTTGTAATGAAAGTCTGTTGAACTCATAGAGACTTTTTATTATCAATTTGTATTGTTTTTTTGTGCAGTGTATGTCTATCACAGCCTCTCGACACTCCTCCACTTTCCCCCCTGCGTAAACCTGAACACATCCACCACACAGACGCAGCAAAACAAAGTTGAAAACGATCCTTTGGAGATAATCCGTATACAAATCCCACACTCCTGCGGTCCAGATGGTCCAAAAAAGAGAGGAAAAATAGGGAAAAGCCATCAAAGCCATTGCATCTTCCGAAACTTACACTGACATGTTGCTAGGTACGAAGTTACTGCGAGCAGCAACACGATCCGGGTGTCCACAAAGCTGAGCATGTCTAAGCGGACATGCAGACTCTTCGCACCGGTGCCCTGCTGTTCACTGCGCCCAGGCTATTCGCTCATACACAGGGGAAGGTCTGACGGGCCGAACTGCGAGGGAAGCTGCTCTGTGATGCTGAGGGGGCCCGGGACTCAGGGGCCCTTTTTATACGGCAGGAGGGACTCTGCTGCAGCTGTCCATCACTGCAGTCCTGGCCAATCAGGGGCCGGGCTCCGAGCGCATCCACACGGTGCGCCTGCTATGACGAACGCAAGCGTCTAATTAGATCCATTCTTTGTGAGGACGTGGACAGCGGAGTTTTAAAAAGACACGGAGATGCGGAGAGGGTTTTTTCTCCTCCTTTTGCCCCGTGAGAATGGTTAGGGTCAGCGCGGGTAGGAGCGGATGGGACAGGCGAAGAATAGGTGCAAACAATAATGCAGCAGATTTAAGACATGAGTACAGTACATTTGGACTGAAGCTTTGATGGAAACGCACTATTTCAAGCACATTACCCAAGGGTCTTTTCAGTGATCTTTGTATCTTCTTTACTTTCATTTTCATTTTCTGACACGTTTGCATGGTTAGCTATGCTTCTAAGTGAATTGATTAATTGTGGTTAGCCGTGCTTCTAATTTGAAACAACCATTTGGCTTAAATTTAACATTTTTTGGTTATTATTATTTTCGCTACCAGTTTGACATATGTCTACTCTACAGCATATAATATTGTTTAACTTTTTCAAAGGGAAGGATTTTGACACTTTTACTTGGGATGGGATATTATTTTCTATAGTATCCCATTTTTTTCTTTTTAAATTCATCATCAGAGTTTTAGTCAAGACTTAATCAGGGTTTCCAAAATTATCTGTTTAATTTAGGGTCTGACCCTGTTTAGACCATAGAGTGGTCCTTTGCAGGCTGCTCACAGCTTGGAAAAGTGTTTTTATGCTGAAGGGGTTCAGAAGCACTGCCTTCACACATGGAGCAGTCCTCGCTCAATAATGTTTCTGTGCTTTGGAATGCACACGAGCCCAGGTGAGAGGAGACTCCACTCTCACCTGATGCAGGAGTAGACATGTCATAACCCCGCCCCCGCACGCACACACACACACACAAGCGTGCGCACACGCACAGACACACTCACACACGCACACATACACACACACACACTTGTTGATGGTTCAGGGTCAGACCAGTTCACCATAAAGTTGGTATACCAATGTTAGCTCAGACCCTCATGCTGCTCAACATGTACAATAGTGTCATCTCTGTGAATATTTGAGCCCGCAGAGCTAATGAATGATAATCTTGCACCAGAGTGTAATACAGATAACCTGTGATGCAACAATGACATTTCCCCACTCTGGGAGAAATAAATGATCTTATGGATCCTAATCTTAATCCCAAAATATGGTTCATTTTTTTCCATGCAGAAAGTGGTGCATCAGCCCCATGTTCATGGAAATGCTTCCTCCGTGAGTCACTATATGCCTCTTTGGGTTGAGAGAGACATACATTGCAGGCACAGGGATGTGAATACTGATGATGATCATATAAACAAGTAAGATGCACTTTGAGCTCACCACCATTTACTTCAAACTCGGCTTGGACCACATTAGACTATGAACCAACTTGCATGCTTCTGTTTTTCTGTCTGATTGAAAGTAAACTCTGTCAGATCTGATAGGGTGCATTGAGTGGTCACATGGGTCAAAGACCCATTCATTCATTATCTGGGACATGGCCACAGAGCAGCAGTCTGAGCACAGATGCCCAAACTTCCCTATCCTAGCACCATTAACTCTAACCAAAAATGCAACAATGGAAGTTTGTTTGAGTGTATGTTTTGATTGCACTTCAAACATGCATCCTCCTGATGGGGATTGCATCTCTACTGCCAGTTCTTGAGGAGAACCTCTTGTTTGTTTCCACATGTTCCTCTGGACACAACCTGCACAACACGGATCTATCTTCAGTATAAGTCCCAAAACTGCAGGTTTCTCAGTGTTTTTTTTTTTAAGTTCTCAATAATGAGTGAGTAGAGTTCCACGTGGAACTGCCCTGCATGTGCATGCACTCTCAGACAGGGAGGTGTCTGTGAGATGGCACACATCCACATCCAGAGGAGGAGGAGGAGGAGTGAAGAGGAGAGAAGGAGGAGCACAGAGGAGAGCTCCACATCAGCAGCAGATCACTCTCTGATCACACACACACACACACACACACACACACACACACCCACACACCAAATCACGGTTCAAGAAAAGTATTGTATTTAAAGGGGAACTATATTTTGTAATATTGACACTGTCACTCATTTGTCACTTGTTCCTCTGTCTCATTATCAGTTTTTCGCTTGCATGAATCATGAGCACAACAGCAGTGAAGCTGAAACATCTCAAAGTGAAGTGAGCGTGGATTACCCCTGCAGCAGCCAATCAGCTCTCAAACACCCTAAAACCATGGATCTACAGTATGATAATAACTGGCGAGGGTATTACTAGCCCCTGTGCCGGGGCGCCCGTGGTACTGCAGACTAAATTCTGCAGTACCACTGCAGAAAAAGTCCCATAGGCCTCAATGTAAATTAAAACAGCTCGACCTCAGCTGACAGTGAACCTACAGGTTTCATAAAGATCGGATTTTGTGGGGATTTTAGCGTCCCTTGTCATCCTGAACTTTTTTTCTTCTTAAATCCTTCGGTTTTCTTTAAATCCACACTTTACTGCCACAGACTCTTCTCATTTCCTTCCCGCTCTGGTTCCGTTCTACCGCCGCTCTGATCAGCAGCTTTGATCAGCAGCTCTGATCAGCAGCTTTGATCAGCAGCTTTGATCAGCAGCTTTGATCAGCAGCTCTGATTGGTCAAAGCGTGGCCGAGCCCCTCTGTGCACGTGGATGAGAGCCACACACGCATACTTGGCGCAACGCATCATGGGAGGTCATCCACTGTGCAGAACCGGAGGGACCAGACAATGCCCAAATATAGACGAGTTCCTATCATATGTCAGCGCCCGTGAAGTTCCATGCGCTACTGTGCGCAAGCTATTCATTTGAATACAGCACCATCTTGGATCACCTGGGCTTGCCTAAAAACTGTTTTGAAAACCTAAACTGGTTTAGCTGCAATAAAGTAAGTAAGTAAGTAAGTAAACTTTATTTATATACCGCCTTTCACAGACCAGAGTCACAAAGCGGTTTACAATTGTTATTTTTTGGGCACTTGTCCTCTCACTCCACCGAGAGATGGGAGCGGGGTCGCCGAACAGGAGGCCCATGCCAGACCTATTGTACATATTTTTTAGTGGTAGGGGAAACCGGAGTACCCGGAGGAAACCTACGCAGACACGGGGAGAACATGCAAACTCCACTCAGTAAGGCCCTGGTCCGGCCGGGATTCGAACCCAGGACCTTCTTGCTGAGAGGCGAGAGTGCTATCCACTCAGCCACCGTGCCGCCCAATAATATACACTTATACTGGTTAGATTGACCATTATAATAGCCAGAAAAGGACCAATCATTTGGTTTTGGTCCAATTTGGTTGGTTTGTAATTGATACTCATGGTGTTCCCACAGGTCTCTCATCACAACATTAACCATGCTCTGCCGTGCTTAGCTTCTGAGGTATGACAGGTTCATGCTTTCACAATAAGGCAAAATCAAACGACCAATTCATATTGGTTGGCCCAAAACTAACAGAATGGTACATTTCTGTTCAATAAATTAATAATCTAACTGCTAATTATCAATGTCGCTTTAACCAATTAAATTGGTAGTTTTGGGTAGTTCATGGTTTGAAAATACTATTGTACAAGTTTGAATTGAATACATCAAATTCAAATAAATACTAACCTTCATCATTAAGAAAGCTTATATTTAATTTGTAAATTGTGCTCACATCGATTCATACACTAATCCCACAATTATTCTTTTTTGCAGAGGATGGACTGCGCTGCGAGGGTCATTGCTTCTACAATGGAGTACATTGGGGCTGCTGCAGAAAAAGGCAGACCGGTCCGGACCAGTCTGAACCAGACTTTACAGAAATTTAAAGACCCATACTTGGCAATGGGCCGGCATGAATCCTCAAAGACAAGGTCGCCGAACAAGAGACCACTGACACATTTGCTTCCACGGAAGACATATTCCACTGTCTGCTGTATGTTCCAATAAAGAAGAGGACTTTTCACTCTTTAAAGCTCACCACCATTCACTTCAAACTCGGCTTGGACCACATTAGACTATGTATTCTGTATTTTCTGTATTTACTGCACCAGTCTGGGTAGCACTCGAGCCACAACATAGGATTTAATCCTGTGTCGGCCTGGGTGTTTTAGAGTGGAGTTTGCCTGTTTTTGTGTCTGGGAGAATGGGTATCCTCCAGGCACTCCTGTCCACCCCCCACGCAAAACATGCACCATTGAAAAAATCCTCCAGTGCGGCAGGCTGGGACAAATGGAGAAGACACATTTCCCCAAGACAAAAATAAAGTATAACTATCTATTTATGTTTCTATTCAATGTAATATCTGTTGTTCTTGTATCAAGTGTTGTGTCTGATCCCTCATGAGGGTGAGCTGAGATGTTGGCTCCACGGTATTGAGACCATTTGGAGTACTCATGCCAGTATATAGAAACAATGTCTGCAGTTAAAGCTCTAAAGTTCTGACGCTCAGTGATCATGAGCTTTAGAGAATGACAGAAAAGTACAAGTTGGAGCGGCTGGGGCACTCTTTCAGAGGTCGGAGCTCTGAGTAGAACCGCTGCTCCACCATGTGGATTGAAGCCAGCTGAGGTTGGGAGTGGAGTTGTCTCCTGGACGCATCCCAAGGAGACGTCTCTCAGCTGGCCTGGGTAGGCTTATCTGACTCCTCAGATGAGCTGAAGGAAAGTCTGGATAGGTTAGACCAGGGGTCAGGAACCTATGACTCGGGAGCCAAATGTGGCTCTTTCTATGATTGTTTCTGGCTCTCATACAAATCTTATCATTAAAAGGGACCTAATCTTATTTTGTTCGTATATTGTGGTATTTTTTTGTGTTACATAAAACTCATTTTGACAGATAGTTTCACCCTTAGCAGTTTCTATCAATAATAATCATGCAAAAAGACATTCGCGGAAAAATTGCCGAGACCGGAAGTCATGTACACATAGGTGTCATTGGGCTTTGTTGATGCATTTGTAAGCCATAACGTTGTATACGGACGTTTTAAACAGATATTTGTCATTCCGTGATGGACAATACAAGTCAGGGGCTTTTATTTATGAGCCCTTGGTACTTGTTATTACAGTAATTATGATTTTGAGGACTCTGACTCGGTTCAGATGAGGAGCTATCTGCAAGAAATGGACATTTGCAGACATTAGGGCCGTTTCCACGGGCTGGAGTATGGATCTATGGTCCGACCGGGTCCGACCCGTCTCGACCCGGTTTGCGGATGCGGTCAGTTTGAGCTCGATGGTGCACCCAAGTGAGTGTAAATAGCTAAGTGTTAGCGAAGGTAGCGCTAGGGACAAAGGAGTACATCAGGGACATCGCAGTGCAGAGAAAAGTTAAGAAGCGTAAAAGTGACTACCGTGAAATAAAAGATCCCAGCCGTAAAAGCGGACAGAACTGAAAAGTCTGGAGGTGGTTTGACAAGATGGATTTACGCTATTTTTACGGACATCAGCTAACAAGCAAACATCAGCTAACAAGCTAACACCAGCTAACACGTCAATACCCGCAACCCAGAAGCCTCAACTCTGTGTCCCAGCTCCAGATGTTAAGTTTGACAGAAATGGTGACTGTCTTCAAACAATTGCAAACATGTAGCGTTATGGTCTTATTCTGAACATGTGTCTGTGGTTCTAAAGTCTTATACTAAACATGTGTCTGTGGTTCTAAAGTCTAAAACATGATGGTATGTGTCATATCTATATCTTTTACTAAACGTAGTTAGAGTGAAACATGGATTCATGGTTCAATGACAGTTGTGTTTTCTGCTGAATACTGGGTTGAAACTCGGTAAACTTGGTTTTAGTTGGAGCTTGATAGAACTAATTTCATGGAACTCGCGCTGGTGTGTTCTCTCAATTTGTTTGGACCGTCGCCTTCTCTGAATAAGTCAAAGATCGTAGGGACTGCTGTTTACATTCTTCTTTTTGTTACTTTCATTGCTGCATCCCGGGGCCATACAAAATACACCCATTTTAAGGTTTATTTGTGTCAAAGCGGCAGCAGGAGCAATGCCATAAACAGTAAGGCGGGAGCTGCGACCCCTACAAGTACGTCATCATTTTTCTGGCCAATCAGAGACGTTGATATTAAAAAGTTATCTTACTGATTTACTACTTATCTATAACACAAAAACACATTGCAAAGGTGGGAAATACATGCTTTTAATGTGTTTTATCAGAAAAAAAAATAGCTTTTAATAACGTTAGTGCCCTTTTAAGGTACCTAAATAATAATAATAATAATAATAATAATAATAATAATAATAATAGTAATAGTACCTTAATAATAATAATATTTCATGTGTTGAAATCTTCAGCATCAAAAATGATTAAACTAAATATTACATTGAGACTATTATTACACTCTAAAAATCACACCTATTCACATAAATATGTGTATCTCCCACAGAATATACATTTTCAAGTATGAGACTTTTTTGGCTCTCTCAGCTAAAAATTTTCCCGATGTCTGGGTTAGACTAATAGCTGGATGGATGATTTTTAGGTGGACTGACTGTGAAGTTGTATTCTTCCTATTCCAAGACTCCATTGTTCAGTCCCCCATTTTGCACCTCCCCCCATTCTTCATAGTATTACGATAATTTGTGATGGTTAACTGTAGAGGGGTAGACCAACAGGGTGACGTCAAATTACTGCATGCACCGAACTAATCCTACTCAAATTGTGTTTAATCTTTTCTTTTTTAAATGCATCCCCTCCACATGTGTCCGACCCAGCACTGATCCGAGACTCCTCCCAGTCTACGCTCCCTCACTGGAACATGTGGCCAGCTGTGAGGGGGCGGGACCACTGCTGCTCAGGCCACGCCCCCTGGGTCAGGGTGGGGGTGGTGGAGAGGATGACTCATGCAGGCTGGGGCTCTGCTCCACACTCAGCTCAGGGCCTCATCTTTTAGTAAAAGCAGCACACATTCCTTTTTTACTTTATACACAGCACTTTCAATAACTATCACAAGAGATTCAGTTTTATACACGTAATTCTCATTCATTGAGCGTTGATTTAGCCCAGAAACTTCTGTGGAAGTATAACATAAAAACCAGGGTTAAAGACCTGTGTGCATTCAAATCATGAAACACACAGCTCCAATTCACTTATGATCAATTCATATATAGATTATCCTCCATATAAAGATAATAAACTGAAAGACAGCTTTTCCCACAGAACACACCTCCTGAACATGGTCCTAAGGATGTTGATTAAGTTCACTTGATAACAATTCAGTGTGTCGTTATGACGCCTTAATGATCAAATATTCACAAAGTCTATACAGTGGAAACCATAATGAAATCAGACGTTTTTTTGCTTTGTTGTATATTTTTCTTTATTAATTTATTTGAAGGTACAGTGCACATTAATGAACATCTGTAAGTAAGTAAGTGGTAAGATTAGGGCAAAAATGCTCGTTTACATTACATTCACGTCAGACTGCTGGATAATTAAGCATTATTACCTTTGTACCCATACAAAAAGATTTGAATGAAGACCACAGATACTACCACTCCAGCCAGTCGAAAGCATTCAGGCCATAAAATGAAAAAAACTCGTCCAAAGATCAAAATGTACTAATTTAGTCATTAAAGGCTATGGGCTATAACTGGAGCATTCCTGGAGTAATACGAAAATTATTGGAACATTTAATTATTCTGTGGTTGATGAATGAACAATTCTGGGATTTTGTGCGAAATTACATTAATTTAATTGATTTGCATGTGCTCCTTTATGACTTTAAATATGGTCATACTCATAACTGTCGTACCTACTATTTTTCCATTGGAATATTATTCACATATTAAGGAGACAAACATCAGCAGACCAGGTGAGTGGGTACCATTAGAAGTGTAAAATGAGGAACTGTTTGAGCAATGGTGTCTTGGGTTGAGGAGAATATGAATGAACCGTCCTCCTCTGTCCCTGCTCCTCTGGGTGTCCACATGAGTCAGTCTGGTCAGCTAGTCCATAATAAACTCAAAATATCCCTCAGTGCTGTAATTACTGTGCACAGCGGCTGGTGGTTAGTGCACAAAAGCATTGGAGTCACTTTTCTGCTTTTCTTTAGCCTTCTTCAAATCTTGAAGTTGGAAAAATATGCACCAATAGTCAGAGGGCGGACTACTGGAGTGGATTTGTAGAATATTATGAGACATTTAGATCAGAAGAGAGAAAAAGTTCTGAAACAAATCTGAACTGTACTAAAAGTAATAATAAGTAAGACTGTTCTAAGAGTATTGTTACCCCAACAATAAGTGCATCAGTTTAGTTTAATAAAACGTGATTATAGTAATAATAATAATGCATTGGTTTTATAAAGCGCTTTAGTAGACACTCAAATGCACTTCACATGCAATTATTCTTTCACTCCATACACGGTGGTGATAAACTACTAAGATATAGCCACAGCTGCCCTGGGGCACACTGACAGAAGCAAGGCAACCAGTATGTGCCATTAGCCCCTCTGACCACCACCAACCATTCACACACACACACCAGACTCATTCTAGGCAATGTGGGTGAAGTGTCTTGCCTAAGGACACAATAACAGTTAAGTACTTTACAGCCGCTGCCGCCTCACTGTGGCACCTGGTGTTCCCAGAGGTCTCCCATCACAGTACTAACAAGGCTGTGCCATGAGAGGTCTGACGGGATCTGGCGTTCTTATGCAGGTACAACCACAAATTGCAAAAGTGTTTGAAAGCAGTTATTGGGTCTCACAAAATGTGTGCTGCAGCACCGGGCATGTGTGTGAACCCTCAAACACAACAGTCAGTATATACCGGAAGTAAGTATTTATCTGTATTTATATAGCTCACAGAGAAGGACATGTACTCTCTGAACTTTTGCTCATGGTGAAGCAATGAGGACTTCGCAATATAGTCTGCTATATCTAAATAAAAAGCTTGTATGTAATATGCACTAATAAAGTCAATACATGTAATGTAACCAAAGCTGTCTAAAGAAATGAAAGCCAAAACCATCTAAACTGTGAATATTATCATGTTGTGTTCATTGCATTTTTAATTAATAATAACTCCAGTACGCACAGGTCATAGGTGAGGACATAGGTGATATATAGGTCTCAGAGGAACCCTTGGATGGTTTAAATCCTATTAAACGGATTGGTATCACTTTGTCAATGTGAATCATAACTCTTCGCCTTATTCTGGAGTGGAATTCGGTGTGCCGCAGGGATCGATTCTTGGACCAATTTTTCACACTACATGCTGCCGCTAGGTAACATCATTAAAAAGCATGGAATTTAACTTCCACTGCTATGCAGATGACACACAGCTTTACCTGCCAATGAAACCAAATCCGACAGATCAGTTGAAAAGGCTATGTGCCTGCATAAAAGACCTAAAAACATGGATGACTCTTAACTTTCTACTGCTTAACCCGGAGAAGACAGCAGTGACCCTACTCGGCCCAGAAAATCACTCTCAATAATGTCAGTATAGTACCCTGCAACACCATCAGGAATCTTCGAGTCGTATTCAACGAAGAATTCTCTTTCAACGCTTATATAAGCCAAGCAACTAAAATGCTGTATTTCCACTTGGGAATCGCTGAAATCTGGAATTTGTTTCTTAAAGTTATACAGAAAAACTGATTCACACTTTTGTCACCTCAAAAGCGTGCCCTAAAACCTTTTTGAAAAGCTTCCAGCTCTTTCAAAATACAGCAGCAAGGATCTTAACAGGTGCCAACAGGAGGGAGCACATAACTCCGGTGTTAAAATCACTCCACTGGCTTTCCGTGGAGTATAGAATAAAGTTTAAAATCATACTTTTAACATACAAAGCCAAGAATGGCTTGGCTCCTCCTTATCTTCAAGACACGTTAGTGTCATATCAACCAAACCCGAGCATGTGGTGGTTCCTAAGATCTCAAAAAGCACTGTCGGCGGCAGAGCATTTAGCTTCCGAGCTCCTTTACTGTAGAATAAGGTTCCCATTCACGTTAAGAAAGCAGACACGGTCTCCACATTCAATTAAAACACTCTTCTTCATTTTAGCATTTGCTGATATTGTTAGGTTGTTGTTTGGTTTGGTTTACACACTTGGTGTGTAATCCATGAATCTTTGGTGCTGTAGCCGGGGCTAGCCTAGCCGTGGCTGCTGCTGTCTCTCCTTTGTTCGGACCCGGTCTCTACATTCAAGGCTAGGCTTAAAATAGTCCTCTTCAGTTTAGCATATGGATAGGAAGGTAAGACTCAGGGAAGGCTAAACATCTTAGATTGTCAGTCAAGCTGCGTAGGGAGTCAGTTTGCTGGGAGAAGTATGGTAACTTGAGCACTATCCTTTCCCCCTTCCTACTTCATCTGTCTGCATTGTCAAGAGTTTGTCTGTAGTCTGTCCATTCACCCGTCTGTCTGTTTCATGGCGCAACAACTGGACCTCTGAACCGGCCCACTCCATCTACACCTGCGGACTGCCCTGCCCGACCTGCCTGCCCTGCTCCAGTCATACACCGCACCTGTTGCTGCATGGCCTTGGTCCTCATTCTGTAGCTTAGGTCCTGGATCATTAGCCCGTCCGTCTGTGTGGAGCGGATCCCTCTCTCAATGTGGATCACCTCGAGGTTTCTCAATTTTCTCCCACTGGGTTTTAGAGTTTTTCCTTGCCGATGCAGGAGTGTTTGTTGGACAGTTAGTGTCTTATCTATGGACATTTATCAACATTCATGGACATTGCTCTCACCATATGGACCAATACATACTGTATGTGTATTTCTTGTGTCTTAACTGTTGATTCTCTGATCTGTGTCGGTGATTTCAATGGTTTTGTTAAGTCCTCCTAGATGACTGCTGTTGTGATTTTGGGCCATACAAGAATAAATTGTATTGTATTCTACTTTTGCACTTTACTAAAAGTATCTCCTTCCTTGTGTGTGACAGGGGCTGTGGCTGGCTCATCCTCTGCTGTGAGGCATTCAAACCATATTCACTCGTCACCCTGTCCTTAAAACTCTGGTTGGGTCAGACTCTACTTCTCTGCCAGACTATCTCATGTCACGAGTTTATGTACAGCGTCAGTTTGAGATAAAAATAATTACAAACTACCTGTGCTGAAGTCTGTATTTCCAGCCTGCCAGTCAGCTTTCTGTCTCCACTGCCCTCTTGTTTCTCTATATATTTTTCATATCAAATGGTGAATTCAACCACATTTTGCATTGCCCTCAACAGTCAACCATAACAGTGATAAGACAGAGGGCATCAATACATGCATGTGACGCTTCAGGATGGAGAGAGTGTGTCCTGTGAAAGTTGGGTACCCTATAAAATTGGCAACCCTGGCTGCTTGCACACAAGCTTCAATGAAACACACCTACTACTGTGTACCAGTCAGTGTTCAGGTGGATTGCTCAAATAAAGACCCAAGACGGACCCCATGGGCTTGAAAGCAAAGGCTGCAATATTTGGTCATCCACTCCATCCTGCCCATCGCCAGCTGTCTTGACTTTTTCTTGCCACTGAATCAAGGTGGACCAGGACGAGAGAGTGAGGCTGACTTCACCGCTCATTCACCGCTGCTTGTCATTCACCGCTGCTCAGGTGAGGACAGAGATGCGGAGAAAAGACCAGAAAGGCACCAGGACCAGATAACATCAGCTCCAGGCTCCTTCGCTCCTGTGCAGACGAACTCTGTGGAGTGATGGAGCGAGTCTTCAACCCGGCTCCACAGCTCCTCCTGTGTGGTACCGGTGCCCAAGAAACCACGGGCCAAAGACCTCAGCGACTTCAGGCCAGTGGCTCTAACATCCCACTGCATGAAGACACTGGAGAGACTGGTCTCCCTCCTATATCGCTCCCTGTCCCACCTGGAGAAACCCGGCTCCATTGTGAGGATCCTCTTCTTTGATTTCTCCAGTGCCTTCAACACCATCCAGCCGCGGCTTCTC